TTCTCTTTCTTTTTACATGTTCATTTCACTTTTTTATTTTTTCTGTTAGGTTCACTTGCTCATGAACACCAGGGCTGCAGTAGCAGAAGGCATTGGTGATCTTCCAGAGGTGCTCTTGCTCCAGCTGCTGCTCCTTCTCCTCCACGCTGCAAGCCGCTTCTGCCCTGGAAGGCACGGAGGCCCCGCTCAGGCACAGGTGCAAGTGCAAGTGCAGGTGCACAACTGTGCCTTCAGCCCCATTGCTGATGCACCTGCCGCCCTCTTCGCTTTGCTCGCTTCCATTTGGTCAACACTGAGAGCGCAGTGATGGCGGCTAGGTGCTGCTACTCTAGACTTGTGATAAACAAATATTTTCTCCTTTGTTATTAATTTTCTTTTAACTTTGTAATGTGTTGTTTTTATTTTAATATAGCCACATCTGTCTTTTCTTTGTATATTTTCTGCTTTATGTCTTTTTTTGGTTTTGTTTGCTTTATGTTTTGTTTTATGGCCATTTAAGGTCATCAATGTACTCCCTTTATCTTTCTATAATACCTTTATAATATTTTATGTTTAATTTTGTAACCCATCTAGAACATGGTTTGGAGTCTTTTATTTTTCTCTACCCAAATGATTTGCTGACATCCTAACACCAGTCATTCTTTTCCCATGGATTTGAAGCAGATGACTTATTTTTAAAAAGCATTTATTAAAGTGGTTCTGTTATTTTTCTCCTTCTGAAGTGTCTGTGTGTCTGCCTTCCAGCTGGTGAAGTCCATCTTCCCAAAACACAATTGGAAACCCAACTCCTCAGTGAATGGTCCATGTCCCCTAGGAGGGTGCCAGACCTGTAGGGGATACACTTCCAGAATCCTTAAAAATAGGAAGAATGAATGCATTCCTCCTGAAAAAGATACACCCTTTTATACCAAGTGGACAGTCAACAGGAGATGAGAAACTAGAAGGAAAGGGGTTTTCAGATCACTCACATGGTTCAAGATTCTGCCCATGAAAGCACAGGTCACCAAGGCATCATTCCAGCACAGTCCTTACATTGTTCCTGTGTAGCCTCTGAGAATGAACTGAGAGCCCGCCTTTTCCTAGACCTCTCCTCTTGTGTTTGATATACAAAGCCCTTAGTCTCAGCTTTAAGAAGAAAGCACACAAATGGGAAAAGGATGTTTCCCTGGGCACCTACCATGCTCATCAAAGCAACGATTGGAGGTGTTGCTGATACAGCAAGCAAGTTCAATGAGAAAGGCACTCACAAGAAAACTGAAAAGACAGGAATGAACAAAGCTTCATGATGGACCATTCAGGAGCCAGAGAAGATGTCTGCGCTGATCTGGATCTCACCTTTAGTGTAAGTACATTTTTAGGTTTCCATAGTAACTATGACCTCATTTTTGGGGATATTATAAGAATGTTACACAATTATCACAAAGTTTACCATTCCCAAAAGCTGTCAGACAGCCAGATTCCAGATGACCATTGCAGTTTAACTTTTAGCCTACTTCCCAATTTACCCTGTTTGTTGTGTTCCCATTTTATGACTCTGCTGTCCTTTAAATGGATTGATAACTAACCAAGGGAAGAGGGTGAAGAGTAGGGTCAGCTACAGCTTAAGTTAATTTAAATGACTTGTCTTAATATGGAGTTAAAAAAGAAAATGGAGTTTCTCTTGCCCTGTCATTGCCCCCAGATTTGTTTCCACCAAGGCCACATCCAGCTGCAAACTCACTGAATCCAGGTATTCGTAAGATATTTTAAAGCCAAGTTGTTAGTTTGAATCTTTGGGATATGCATTTTGGATGAAGTTCTGGATAAAGAATTAAGAGCCCAGTGGTTAGAATCCAGATATTTTCCAGGAGAAGAAACTCTTGTTCCTTTTTTGGGAGAAGAAAACATATATATAAAATTTTTTTTTGAGACAGGATCTCACTATGTAGTTCAGGCTGGTCTTGAACTCACTTTGCAGCCCAGGCTGGCCTCAAACTCACAGCATTCTTCCTGACTCAGTTTCCTGAGTGCTGGGATTACAGGTGTGCGCCACCACACCCGGCCCCAATTGTGTATTAAAACTTTACTGCTTCTGCTATAGCTGCCCAGCCATGGCGGGCTGAGAAACAGTGCTGATCACAGAACTACCCTCAAGTAGAACTGTGCCTTTGGGCTGTGTGAAACACCTGCTCAAAGCTGAGGGAAAAAGGAGAACTTTGCTTCCTCCCTCACTTCTACTGCCCCCCCCTCCAAAAATGGCCTTTTCCATAACCTAATGAATTATTGTATTAGATTTCCTAGTGTTGTGCTGTTCTTGAGTTTCTGGATTAAGTCTGACTTTATCCTGATGCTTCTTTATTTTAAATGTTTCTGGATTTGATCTGTCAATCATTTATTTAGGAATTTTTTGGTGTCCAGGTCCATATACACACATAATAATTCTTGTTCCAGTGGGCTGAGATTTCAGATGTCTATGCTACTCCCTCTTCAATCTCAACACTCTCTGGACAGTGAAGAATCATTTAACTAGTGTCTGCTGGCCCCATAGTACTGAAAATATTTCCCCTTAAAATGAAATCCAAGGTTAAGAGTTGAGAAAAATAGGCATTGTTTCTCAAATATTAATTCCATTCAGTATCCACCTTTGTCCACAGGTGATCATGTTTCCACGCCAAGTTACTGATTATCCAAGGTAGAGACTCTTTGAAAATATTCAGTCAAAAACCCCAGAGCTTAATAGCCATGAGTGGATGTCTAACTCAAAATTTATTCAAAACAAGCCATAAAAATACTTCTAAGAAACTGAATCAAATACATGAGGAAAGAATTTCATTACCACAGCATAAGCCACAGAGATTAATTTTTAAGACTTTTGTTTGCGGGCTGGGAGTTGAATCCCCGGGGCCTCATGCAGGCTAAGCGAGTGCTCCACTTCAGCCCCAAGACAAATTCCTGACTGGCCTGTGTACCTTCTCACCCTCAAGTGGATAGTTGCTGGTTACTCGAGTCGATGCATTTAGAGCTGCAACCTTATTTGCCACTGTTCATGACAGAAGACAAAGCAAATTTGTTCCTTTCACGTGTAGATTTTAATTTTTTAGCTGCAAGTTTTTATTTTTACATTGACCACTTAATTTCTTCTGGCTTCTGAGTCTATCATTGACAGTTGGTTGCTGCTCTTCTAAATGTGACCTGGTGCCTTTGCCTTGGCTCTTCCTCGCCACTGCCCTACTTATCGGCATTTAGGGGTCCTCAGTAAAAGGTGCAAGGCAAAGGCAAGAAAGCTTGTGGGGTTAAACTCACTACCTGCCTGTCTGGTTTTTTTGTACACAGGTGAGATATTCCTGCACATCATCCGGGGACCCCAAAATGAGAGGGACCCTTTGGTGAATACTCTCGGGTTTCACGTCCAGGACAGGCTGGGTGCCTGTGGTTGCCATGCCTCCCGCCTGCTCAATGATGTAGGCCACAGGATTGCACTCATACAGGAGCCGGAGCTGTGGAGAAACAGAGCCGGGGGTGAGCTGTGTGAGTGGACAGACATCCCGAGCCCTGCCCCTCAAGTGGAGGAGGAGTTTGAACTTCTGAACATCTGTGTTGTGAGTGCGAAGGGCTTGCTGAGGTCTTACCCTACAGGAGCCTGGATGCCCCAGCCATACTCATCATGCACACATCTGGGGGCACCTTTGGCCAGGTGGCTGAGACGTGTATCCTGTCTGGTGATCCTTGTGCTAGGGAGATCTGCCTCTCGATTTGAAGATACATGATCCAGTTACCCATTTCTTGTTGGTTTAGCAGTAAGGCAAACTGATTCTGCAGACCAAGTTAGAAGCCATGATAGGTAAGGCCTTCCAGCGAGCACCAAGAAACCAAGCATGGTCAATCGTAAGGTCACCTTGAGAGTGCTAGGTGGTATCTCTGGGGCTAACCACGGTGGCTGGGGTGGCACAGAATGACCCTCCACATCTTAAGTGCTAGCTTGGCTAAATAGTTTGTGGGGATTTGAGTCTTTTCTCTTGGCCCCTTAGTAAGCGAACTCCTGTCGCCTGCATTGTCATAGCATCCTGTGCTGCTTCTTTCACAACAGTCACTGCACGAGATTTGTTTAACATCTGGCTTCCTCCCTAGACTTCCCTCCCTTGACCGGAGCCCCACCTGCACTGGGAAGGCTAGTTTTGTCCCTGACCAATGCACAGAGGGACACTGGAGGGCACACTGCCTTAAGGAGTCTGACCGTGGAGAGCCTCATCTTGACAGTTTGTAGAACTTGGCTTTTCCCTTCCCTTTTCTTTGCTTTGAGGGTTGAGGATGGGAAATTTGCGGTCTCAGACTATAACCAAACAGCCTATTGAACCAGATACTTAAAATAACGCAGAGGTGGGATGTGGTGCATTTTTTTGGAGCCAAGTTGCTTTTGCTCTGACCTCAGATGTCCCTGCTGGAGTCAGCTGGTCTTAATAGCAAAATGCCCCGGATTACACGGTACATTGGCCTGTTGGCCATGTGATCCACTCTTTTTTCATGAATTAAAATCTACATGGCTTTAAAGAGACAAGTAGACAAGGAGTTATGTCCATGCACATGTGCAAGTGCACATGCATGTATGTGCGCACACACACACACGTGCACACACACACATACACACACAGATGTGTCACAGAGATTATGGGAACTGAAACGTTGAGCACGGGAACCAATGTACTTCCACTGTGTGTAATGGTTGTGCGGCAGTGAATGCAGATCTGTTTACAGGACTGCATGTGCTGGTAGGACACATTTACTTACCTATGTATGAATATTTTGTGACTCATTTATAACCATTTTAATAAGTATAAATAATTAGTCTTGATGTCCTTCCTGTTAGAACCAAGCAAGCGGCAAGAATTTAAGAATTTTCATGTCTTTTACTTGAACTCACATAATACTCACATAATACTCCTCTGCACTTTTATTTCCTTCAGCATCCCTTGTGCAGACTTCTCTGTGACCGTTAGTTCCACAGATTAATATACATGGTGTAATAACAAACACTGCCTTGAAGAGAAACACCTGATACACTGACCTGTGTATCAAAATCTTGTCTCAAGTGTCATTTCCAGAAATTATTCTGGAGCAGACATTTTTAGTCTGGAGAACTCTTTAGGGGATTCTTGAGTGGACTTTGGGGTATCTCTGAAACCTCCAAAAGTGAATGTAAAGTTACTTTTCTGTGCTTGTTTTTTCTAGGAAGGTACATGGCAGGTTCTGTTAGATTCTCTAGGGCGTCAGGGGTTGCAACCCAATGGGTGCTGCCATGAAAACTTAGACAGCCCACAGAGAGTGGGAGATGAACACAAGAGACTTCTGGCAAAGGATGAGCATGAGGCCAGAGGACTGAAGGCCAGTGACATCCGCAGACATAGTCATGGCAGCCTTCCACTTCTCCAAACCTTCTACCACAGCCCCAAAGTCACTAACAGGAAACAGAGCTTGTTTGTCTTTCCCTGCCCTCTCACAGACATGCAGGCCCAGGAGCAGTGCAGCAGCCACACCGCAGGCTTGAGGAGATGCAACTCCTGCTGGCTCACAAAGAGATAACCACTGGTGGACACAGGGCAATTACCTTGCCCTTGGGGCTCTTCTGGTTGGCTGGGTACAAGAAGATCCCTCCGTAGACCAGGGTGCGGTGCACATCGGCCACCATTGAGCCCACGTACCTGGCCCCATAGGGAGCACTGCCATCCTGGAAGGAAGAAAGGGAAGAGATGAGATCCAGTGGCTTTAGCAAGTAGCCTCCACCAGCTCCTGGGCACAAGTCCAGCTGGTACAGCTTCCACTTCCTGGTTCTCTGATCGCCATCCACTGACTTAGGAACTTAAACCATGGAACTGAGCACTTCATTCATTGCAAGGCCCTCAAAACTCAGTCACTGACTGAGTTAATTACACATAGGACTACGTACAATAAGAGCATCTTGCAGCAATCTTAGTGACAAAAAAAGTAGAGTCAGTCCTTCATACGCACAGGGTTCCACATCAAGAGATTTAACCAAGCATGGATCACAATATAAAAGTGACATCTACACTGAAATGTACAGACTGGGTTTCTTATTGTCATCCCCCAAACAAGGCAGTATTACAACTATTTACACAGTATTTATGTTGTATTAGGTGTTATAAGTAACCTAAAGATGATTTAAAGTATGGGGAGGATGTGTAGGTTGTATGCAAATACTACATCATTTTATAAAAAGGACTTGAGCTTCTGAGGACTTTGGTATCTGAAAGAGGTCAGGAACCAGCACCCCGTGTCTGTGCAGAACACAGCTGCTCGGTAGCTCCTTTAAGCTCCTATTGACTCACATAAGGTTCGCGGTATTTTTAGCCTTCTAAGGACCAGATCTCCTTGATCAACAGCAATGACAGTTTTGTACTTGCTGCAAGCAGTCTTTCTACATGGGAAATATTTTAAATACCTTTAGAAATCAATTTAAAAATATCACAATTTAATTTATTTGTAAGCCTCAGTTTGATGAGTCACGCATAATGAAAAGAATACTTGTTCAGAGATAACACGAGAAAGGTGACGATTTTTCTCAAAGAAGGGTGTAATAGGTACAGCATGATGTATGAGTCAATCACTCCTCAGGAAGGCTTATTTTTTCCTCATTTAGGACGCACCTTTGATTTCTGTGTCTAATTTAACAGTTCCTCAGGGCAGCCATCCAGTGTGTTGCGTTACAACAAAGATTGGGAGTAATGGCAGCATGGTACAAATAACAAGTGATGGTGAGCAAAGGCAAGTTTTGAAAGAAGCACTTTGGCAAAAGAAACTTTACAGGTTTGAACACAAGCTAGAGTGCATGATGGATCAAGAATTGGTATTAAAAAACAAAACTAAACCTTCTTCCTAGTCAGCCTCCCCCTCTTTCTCCTATATTCTGCAGCCAAGTTCTCCTCAAATAGTTTTTACACACAGTATCCACTTCCCTTTGAAATTTTTTTTAACTTATCTAGTTTATTTTTAATTATTAGGACTGTGATTTTAATAACTTACTGTTATATGAGAAGAAAACTATACCTACTTTTTTTTTTTTTTGTCTTTTGAGTTTCACTATGCAGTTTTTTGTCTTTTGGATTTCACTATGCAGTTCAAGTTGGCCTTTAACTCACTTTCTAGCCTACACTGGCTTTGAACTCATAGCCATCTTCCTGCCTCAGCCTCCCAAGTGCTGGAATTATGGGCTTGTGCCACTATGCCCAGCTTCGTTTTTGTTTTTTAATGAAATACTTGAGTACATTTATAGGTCAAGGGCAGGAGACAAAGGGATGAGACAAAAAAAAAAAAAAAAACAGAAGAGGGACAATAAAAATTTTGAGAGTTACCCATCTTTAGCCCTTTAATTTTTAGCCACGCATGGTGGTGCATGCCTGTAATCCCAGCATTTGGGAGGCTGAGGCAGGAGGATCATTGCGAGTTCGAGACCAGCCTGGGCTACAGAGTGATCTCAAGGCCGGCCTGAACTGCACAGTGAGACCCTGTCTCAAAAAGACAAAAAAACCCAACAACAACAACAACAGTAAAAGCCACAGTCACTGACAATACCTTAGATTATAAATTCTTTGAATTTAAGAACTGGCTTTTGCCTCCATTTGGGGATCACCTCCAGTATCGGAGAATGGCTCAAAGCATTAACGCCAATCAGCCTTCTTTCACAGTATTTCTTTTTCTTCTCCTTTTCTACCTGAACTTGATCCCTCAAGGAATTTGTCTGTTCCCATGTCAGTCATCCTGCTCTCCATAGCCAGCTTTTGGATGTATCATCTCATTCATAGCAGTTACAAACCCCCACCTGCATACTGAGCCAGCATCTCTGTTCACTATTTTCAGGAAATTCCTTAGCTTCTCTGTGATGTGGTTTTATTATTAAAATGAGAATAATAATATCTCATAGGATGTTTGTGAAAACTACATGAGCTAACATGTATAAGACACTTAGTATAGGACCTAATACAAAATAAGGACTTTGTTCTGGGTTGATATTGTTAGGTGGGAGCTCTTTTAAAAGTCACCTACTAATCTACTATTCTGTTCTCAGCCTTGGGTGCCTCCGCAGAGACAGATGGTGTTACCATGCTACCCACTTTGTCCACTTGGAATCAAAAGGGCCTTTGCTAAGATTCTCAAAGAGATTTTTTGTTTCCTGCAAAGTTACTCTCACTTTGGTGGTGAGAACAGCCGCAGTCTTAGTCACTTGACTTGTCACTGAGACACAAAACCTGACACTCACAACCTAAGGGAGGAGAGGTTTATTTCAAAGGCTTACAGTTACAGTCCATAGTTGGTTGGCACCAAGGCAGAGATGTGGCAGAGCGGCATGGGACAGGGGTATGGGAGATGGGCATGGGAGAGGGAAAGCGGCTCAAAGCATGGCAGCTGGGAAGCAGAGAGTGAAGAGAGGATTGGGGAAGAGATAAACCCTCCCAGGCCACACCCCCAGATCTTTGGACCAGATCTCACCTCCTAACCACAATGGCAGCTACAAACTTATCAGTGGGCCAACCCACTCATGACTGCCTCCATGACCCAATAAAAAAGCTCCACCTATGAGCACATGACGCGTTGAGGGGACGTCTAGATATAAACCACAACAGCCTCTATAGCTACACTGCTCTCCCTCTCATTTCTGAGTGTAGCTCTCACTCTTGACTGAACTTACCTTTCATGAACTATAACTCATTGCTCCTTCCATACTGGGCCCCTGATCCCTGGGTCCCTAATACACTCAGTCACTGCCTGCTCTTCGTTAGGCAGAAAGGGTCTAAACACAATGACAGTCCTTAGGTCAGTGACTAGAATGGGCAGGGGCAGATGCTCAAGCTTTGACATTCTTTCTTGTAAATGTACTCCATCCAAAATGGTAGCCACTAACCTCATGTAGTTATGTAAATTTAAATTTAAATTCCTTAACATTAAGCAAGATTAAAATTTTGCTTCCTCAAGCAGACTGCAACATTCCAAGCATTATGTGTGGCCAGTGGCTGCCATATTGGATAACCTGTGTGTAGAACATTTCTTTCATTTCAGGAAGTTCTTTTGCATGCACAATGCTAATGTCAATCATGAGTTTAGAGAGTTTACATATTGGAATCAGGATCTGAGCTCACACAGTCCATCTCCAGGGCCCCTAGACCTCACCTCTACTTCCTGCAGGTTTCTTGTCTTACGGTCATCAGCTGCTCAGTCTCGGATTGGGCTTCCTGGATACAGAGCCCTCCCCTCCTACTGTACTCCCTCACCACAGCCCAGGAAGTTGCCTGTCACTGTCGAAAGTATCCCATATTTAGCCAAGGCCAAATTTTCTTCTTGTATCTAGGGATGGAGTTTCTTGGAGCCAACCATACATTTCTGGTACTGCATGATATCTCTTCATCTCGTCAGAACTGGGCACTCACAGAGCTTCTAGCCCTTCAGCCAAGACTGATTTTACATCAATAAGGAAATTGCTCCCAGGACTCTCAAACGGCTTTCCTGATTTGTTACCTGTCTGGGCCACATTCAACTAATCTATAGTCTTCAATTTATGGAATTTCAAGAATTTTATTTAAAAGCAAACCAGCAAAATGCAAACCTCCTACAGATAAAACAGTGTCTCTTATGCCAAGGACAAATTTATATTAAACCTAAAACTTCACATTAAATAACAACTGGAGAACTTTAGAACCTTGATTTAGGTTGAGGAAGTAGGTAACTTCCTTTATTGTTTAGAATTCCTTCCTTCCAAGAAAAGAAGGGCAAAGAACTTTAAATGAATATTAAAATATTTATTAATATATTAGGCTCAGTAGGCCAGCATTTTGTGATTTAAGTGACAACCAAACCTTCTATTTTCTAAGAATGACCAGACCTCAGGACTCTACCTCAGGTGGCATCTAGGGTAGAAAGGCTCCTCTGTGTAGGCAAATTTAGAGTAAAGAGGAGATTTTCTTAAAAACTAGTTTTAAACTGGGCATGGTGGCACACACCTGTAATCCCAGCACTCGGGAGGCTGAGGCAGGAGGATTGTTGCAAGTTCAAGACCAGCCTGGGCTACAAAGTGAGCTCAAGGCCAGCCTGAACTGCACAGTGAAACTCTGTCTCAAAAAGACAAAAAAACACTATTTTTAGGTTGGGTGTGGTAGTGCATGCTTTTAACCCTAGCTAAGGCGGGAGCAGTGCCAGGCTGAGACAGCAGGATTGCTGGGAGTTCAGGGCCAGCCCAAATTACATAGTGAGACACTGTCTCAAAACAAAAACAAAAATGAAAACAAAAACACTAAAGAAAGAAAAATCCCCAAAACACTGCTTTTTAGATTGTCATTCCATTTGGTCAGCATTCTGGTTACAGTAATGTTAGCCATGTGTGTAGTCCAATAAAGTTAACCTATCCTGTTTCTAAGGCATACACTTCCCAGTGTTTATCTCACCTCACTGTCCCCATTCTGAATTTGTAAATTAGTTTTAATGCCTAGTGAAATGTCTAAGAGCCTGTGTAATGCTGCACATTTCACACTATGGATGGAGATCCATTACTAGGCTGTCAAGTCCATGCCATTAGTCTTTACCACCATTTTTTTAAATGAAGCAGAACCTAAACAAATGGAATGGAATGGAACAGAATGGAATGTCATGGAAAAATATAATTAGAGTGCTGTAGAGCAATAGGTAGTGTAACTTGTTTCAGGTGTGTGTGTTTGTGTGTGTGCACGTGTGTGCTCTTGTGTTCTGAATTAGATGTAAAAAATTTTTTTTATGAGTGGTCACATTCAAAATGTTTGAAAAACTCTGGCCTAATCAACATAAGAGGAATTGTTGTATCGTTGGATGTTTACATTTTGAAATCATATTGCCAGATTGCCCTCCAAAGGCTGTGACACTTATGTTTTCTCTAACAATTTATAAGAAAGCGTATTTTCCCACACCAATGAGCACTATTTATGTTTCCAACCTGTGCCAGTCCCATCTGTAAACACAGTATGGCAGTGTGATTTTAATTCGCGTTGACTTGTTAGCGTCTTTCCATCTGCTGACTGGACACACAGGTGTCCTCAGTGACTTGTGCGATCATCCCCCTTGCCTGGAGTCCTTCCCGAGTGTTCATCCTTGTGTTGTTGTTATAAGGGTCCTCTTGTAGCTAGACTGTTCCCCTGGTGTCAGTCACATATGTGCTTAGTGATTTCCCCTAGCTTGCAATTTACTCCCATAATTTTTTCTTTTGCACAGTTTTGCTTGTTCTAGTGGTAAAATAAATACCTTTTTTTATGGGTTCTGGGGGGGGGAATTTTTAAGTATAGAATCAGAACCACTCAGAAACCAAATTTAAAACTAGAAACTTGCAAATAAGTTTGATTTTACCGACTTTAGAAGTCATATCCTGTTTCTGCTGGTTTAAGACAGCTGCTAAGTTTGTGCGCTGTGGTACAAATAATACCCTACAATGCAGAGGGACAGGAAACTGTGTTTTCTGAGAATGTAACCTTAAAAACACACAAAAAAGAAAGATGAAAACTTCCTATGGTTTCCATTTCAGGCAGAAAAGCAGGTCCTAGTATCTTTGACTGAATGCGACCTGGTCTCCAGAAATCCTCAGTTCTTTGTCCTTGATTGTTCATTGTGCTTCAGGGCAGCCTAGCGAGCATGGCATATGGCTCCTTCTCCACCCAGTCAGAAAGGCCTTCTTTGGCCTCATCCCCTGGAATTTGCTAAGAAAGACTCTTACGGACCATGCCATGAACAGCGGTGGCAACCTCTTTCACTAAGGCCCCCAAAGCCACCATCCAAACCGGACCCAGTGAGATAGCATCTTCCCTGCCACTGGCCTAACCTGCTTCACCTACCTCAGGGAATTTTTTCTTCTGCACATATTCAGTGGTGGCCGCATCAAAATACTTGGCGTAGCCCTCATTGAGGCTGAAAATCTTTCCTTTCTTCTTAATCTTGACATCTTTTTCCACCAGCACAAATTCACCGAGAGCCTAGAGAGAAGATGAGAGACACCAAGCAGAAGAGAGAGATCGGGAAACAGAAGCCAACAGCACAGCCTGCAGCAATCACAGGATGTGAGAGGAAATAGGGATTGGGAAGGACCCAGGGGTTCTCCTCTCATCCTGAAACTTGCCCTGTGGTGTTTTCAGGGTGGTGGAAAGAACAGCTTTAATACTGAGCCTGAACAGGAAGATTAGAAAGAAATGGAATAGGAGGTACAAAGTAATTCAAGGAGTAGGGTGTGGTGGCCCATGCCTGTAATCCCAGAACTCAGGAGGCTGAGGCAAGAGGATCCCTGTGAGTTCAAGGCCACCCTGAACTACATAGCAAGACCCTATCTAAAAAACAAAACAACAGCAACAACAACAACAAAAATATTCAAGGAAAAATGGTCTGTGATCTTCCTTCTTTTCTTCTGTGCCTTCCAATATCTGTGAGGCTGCTCAATTCTGAGAAACCTAACTGTATTTATCCCCAAATTTTCATTCCCAGTTTAATGCTTTCTGGAAAATTTAGACCATCAACAATGAGAGAAAGAAATTAAGGGGTGGGTGGAGATGCGGTTTGACTATCCATTCGTTGTCTGTTTAGCTTAATGATTCTGTCTTAGAACCCATGAAAGTTCCTGGCATCTCAACCACTTCTATCTGGGGACAATAAAAAGTTCTTTGTGTCAGATTCTGTGTTCACTCAGCAGAAAGAAATAGGAGGCAAGAACTAAGAGTCCTCAGAGTGATTAATACAATTGTGCCCAGTGCTCCACCGGCCCTGACACAGCCACACGGACAGTATCTTCAGGACATCCCTCAGGATGCCCATTGTCTGATTCTGGTGACGTCGGGCCCTGTGGAGGTGACCGGTCTAGATGCAGGTATCACCTTGCAGGCTGGGGCCTGCTCACTAGCAGGAGAACCAGGGCTGATGCATATTGAAGACTTTAGAATATGAAAAGTTCCTGAGATGATAGCGCACAACTGTCAGCTTGACTTGGAGAGGCCCAAGGAACTCCAACTTAACTCAGAGCAGAGACAAAGCCACGCTGACCATGTCCGAAACAAGGCAGTGAGAAGTACGTATGCTCAGCAACTGCGAAAACAGCCAGCCATTCCTCTCTTCTGCCTAGCTTAAGTGGTCCCTGCTTCTGTACCTATGAGTCACTGCCTTCATTTGAACCTTCCTGCCCCCTAGAAAGAAATGATTATGCTGCTAATCACCAGTGGCAGCCACTTCTAGACAATGTCCAATCCAGAACAGACCCTGTATCCCTCAAACCCTCCTGGGAATCACCAAGGAAAGCCCAAGAGTTATGATAAACCCACGCTGAGTTCCTCTCAGCCTAGCGCCGTCTATTCCCCCTGGAGTGCAGACGCCCTTTCCTGGAGAAACCCACCTTCCTTTTACTGTAAGTACATCCCTGATAATCTCTGCATAGTCAGGGGTAGAAAAGGAAGAAGCACAACCTCTGGGTAGATGAAAAACACAATTACACTATTTTGTCTGAAGCAAGAAATCATTAGATGAAGGTGGGAAAGTGCGGAGAATAACACAGAACCTGATAGGAACCATCTCTCATCACTGGGAAAGACACAAGTATCAGGGGAAATCCTCCACCGTGGGGGCAGCCACTACTGAGATTCATTGTAATGAAACAAAAGGTACAAACCCCATTGCTCAGGCACACTGGCCACTTCTGCAGGGTCTGACGGTCACCAGAGGCCAGCGGCAGCTATCAGGGACACTGCAAATCCAGGCCCTCTCTGTCACCACAGAGTGTTCTAGGGGTGGAGCTACACTGAGGAATCCATGGTCCAAAGCGGAAATGGGTGGCTCTGGGACTCTCGAATCGTGGTCTTTCCATAACCCTGGGGGTGAATACATATGTGGAAAATAAACTCCCTTTGAAAAGTTAGACTAAATCAAGTGTGGTGGCACTTAACTTTTATCCCAGCATTCTGGAGGCTGAGGCAGGAGGATCGAGTTTGAGGCCAGCCTGGGCTACATAACGAGTTCAAAGCCAGCCTGAATTACATGGTGAGGTATGCCTCAAAATAACAACAACAACAAAGTGAGACTAAAGGAGTTCTTTATGGTATTCACCATAAAGAAATAATAAATATTTGAGGGAATAGATTTATTTAACTTGATGAAAATATTATACAGAACATCACTGGATACTACCATTATAATTTTGTGGTTTATGTATAAATTTAAAACAAATTTTTTTGGGGGGGACAGGGTCTTGCTATGTAGTTCAGGATGGCCTTGAGCTCACTATGTAACTCAGGTTGGCCTCAAATTTATGGCAATCCTCCTGCGTCAGCCTCCTGAGTGCTGGGATTAAGGTGTATGCCACCACACCAGACTAAAATAAATTTAATTATTTAAAAGAAAAGATAAACTCGTTAAGGCAGGGGTAAGTTGATAAAACTGATGCCATGGGGCAGCGTCTCCAGATGCCCTCGTTTGGACAGAGGTCCTTAAACTTTCATTGGTGATGTTGGCTCTACAAACTAAGTTTTCTGGCTCCAAAAACAAGAACTAGGAAGGACCAGGAAATTATCCCAGGGACAGAGACTCAAGCTTAGAAGCCCATGGTGGGCACCAGGGCAGATGCCACTGTCTTTGGAACCTACCGGGTCCAGCATGAAGAGGTCCACACCTTGCCCCGTGGAAAGCGCCACTAAGGTTGCACTGCCGTATAGTGCGTAGCCCGCGGCCACAATATTTCGACCAGGCTGCAGGGCGTCCTTTTCTGAAGGCTCTTCCTCTGTGTTCTGCAGGAGGGAAGACAGAAACAGAGAAATGTGGTGCCTTATTGTCCTGACAGGAGGAAGCCTTAGCCAGAGATCTGGACATCAGATCTCCTGGGACCACCAAAGGAAGTGCCTTTCCAGAATGGGAAACCTGAATAAACGCACTCTACTTAAAAGACCTGCTTCACCTGGCCTCCATTAACCCCCTTTCCCCACGTCCCAGCCCTTACATATTCCCAAAGCCATCCATGCCCAGGAAGGTGCATCTGATGCCACCTCTGCAATCTCCACCTGCTTGGCCACCTCATGGATAAACTCTCCCTCTTTTGCAAAACTGCCATTTGAGTGATTGGCATATTGTGCCTGGGCCCGACAGGCCTGGCTTGTAACAGTTTCAAATTGCAGCAAACGCATCCAGAAGAAACGAGTTGCCATGTTTACGGAGGGTTCTGGCTGAGTTATTGCAATGGCTCTTCATGGCTTGCTTTCTTCCTGATTTCCAAGCACATTTTTTCTGCATCCTGCCAAAGACAGCGCTCTAAGATTCTTAAGCTACACCTTTCCTACTTGTCATGAACTGACACCAAGATCATCTCTGATTTTATGCAGCCCTCAGAGGTTGACAGCTCTATCACTTCCATTGCACAAATGAAGAACTTAGAGTAAGAGACACCTCATCCAAAATCATAAAGCCCGGGGCTGGGGATTTAGCTCAGTGGCACAGCGCCTGCCTGCCAAGCATGAGGTCGTGAGTTTGATTCCCGGTACTGGAAAAAAACCAAAAGTAAACAAACAAACAAACAAAAAAACCAAAATCATAAAGCTGATGGAGCTAGAACACTCTGGATGTCAACTCAGAAGCCCTGTAAACTAAAATGTTTAGCCCTAGTGTTCTGACCTTCTGGTTTCCAGTTATGGTGATGTAAACACTCAGGTGTCTTGTCTGAAGACCCCCAACACACTTTCAAGAGTGTGCTTGTTGTCAGACTCTTTTTCAGATTCTTACCAGAGACAAGCCATGGTTATTTGGACTGGCTTTCAAAGCCTATGTTTTATTGAAAATTCAAGAAAGAAATCCATGTGTTAAAGTTTACCTAATTTCAAATCCCAGTATAGTAATCTATACTGGGAATAATAACATCTCTTTGTTTTCAAACCTATGGGTCTTAAGAAGTTATTATGAGCCACAGTGGTGGAGTCAGAGGCCACTTACTGATTAGGTACAGTGAGCCAAGTTTCTTACCTTCTCTGTGCTTCCCCTGTCTGTCAGTCAGGCAGTGACAGCGGCGTGTGCACCTGGCTCCTGAGGCTGAGGCGAGGCCACGCGTGCAGCGCGTGGGTAAGGACAGCCTGACTCTGGATCAGCAGCCAAGTGTATCAGCCAAGATGAGAAAATCAATATTCAAAGCCCCTCAAAGATACAACTGGGTGTCTTTTCTCAGAATTGCATAAATACTACACTATCTACTTCTTTCCTTTTAGATAAAGGCTCTCACCTATCTCAGTCTTGCTTAACCTTGAAACATAATCTTGACCTTCAACACTGTCAGACACCCCGGTGTCTTATATCATCCTGTCTGCTCCTTCAGCAGAAGTCTCCTTTTCTCTCCCTGAAAGGGGCAGGAGGAGAAAGGAGAAAGAGAGAGGATCACCAACCAAAAGAGCAAAATCCTCTGGTATTTCCTCATGTACAGGTCCATCTCTCATTCTGTCCTCATGACTGGAGTGAAATGGTGCCCCCTGCTTCTTTGCTTTTCTTCCCTGAAAGTGAGCTTAGGCTAATTCGCATATTTCTGCTCAGGTGTGTTTTCTGCTAAGCTTTTGATAGGTTCCTCCTAAACTCAAATTTTACTCCTCCCCTTTTAGAAAACAACCAGCCACACATACAGCAATATGAGTATTTACAGACCACACATTAGGCCTGCGTTGGTTACTTTTCTCTCGTTGCTGAGACAAAATACCTGACGCCCAAAATGAAGGAAGGAAAGGTTTATTTAGCTTACAGTTTGTGGAGGTTTCCATCCATACTTGGCTGGCTCCAAGGCAGAGTGGCACATGGCAGAGGGTAACAGTCATGGTGGCGGCAAAAGCAAAAGCAATAAGAGCAAAATGGAGGAGCAGCAGCAAGCAGCCTCTTTCCCTCCCTTACATTGTATGCAAACTACCCGCCCCAGGGCGTGTGTAGCACTCACATCCATAATTCCAACACAGGACCATAAATCAATCATAAATCTAGAAGCCTGCCCCATGACTGCATGAGGATTTGGGGGGGACATTCAGACACAAATCATAACAAGGCCACATGGCCCCACCTAATTGTATCCTGAGTTTGTAATCTAGAAGGAGCACCCTGTAAGACACATAAGGAACACTCGCTATGGTCATCTCCCCTGGTCTGCAGTTTTGCTTTCCATGGTTCAGTTACCCATAGCCATCAGTGGTAGGAAAATACTGTCATGGGTTGCTGATCTGGGATCACCCAAAGCAGGTAATCCTCCTGATGTTTTGGAAGGTCAGCAATGGCCTGATTCTATGTCACAATGTTACACCATTCATGGTACTCTATCTCATCACATGGCCATCAGTATCATCACACCATCACAAGAAGGATGAGAACAATTACAATGTGAGGGGACAGATCATATTTACATAACTTTTATCTCAGTATGTTGTTACAATTGCTCTATTTTATTATTACTTATTGTTATTCATCTCTGACTGTGCTAATTTATAAATTAGGTTTTATCATAGGTATATATGTATAGGAAAATGTGCCTAGTCCATGTAGGGTTTGCTACTACCAATAATTTCAGGCATCTACTGGGAATCTTAGAACACATCCCCTGTGGATAAGGGGTTGATGGTATACAGACATTATGTAATCAGTGTCAGATTTGTAGTCCAAAATGTAAGTGCTCCTCCATGTGTCTCACTGTGAGTTTAGTGGAGTGTGGTCTTTGGAGATGAGCTCTAGAAACACCCCAGGTCTTCACCAGGTTACCAGCTCTATGGTCCATGAGATAGCCAAGTACCCTGGATCTCCTGCCTGAGAACCCCAAGGGCAAAGCCCAGACATCCTGATTGCAGCCAGAGCTGATTTCTGAGCCAAGCCATGGCAGAATGGTGCAGTCTATATTAGGTGATCTGCTGTGAAGTTTTTGGTCGTGCTGGATGGTCACAGCCCAGCCTGTAAAATCTCTGTTGTTAGCTTTGCCTGATAGGCACAGTGGCCCCCAAAGATATTCCAATTATCCAGAATCCGCGAATGTGCTATGCTACGTGGCAAAAGGATTTTTCAGATGTCCTTAGAGTTCTAGATTTAAAATGGAGATTACCCTGGATTTTCTACATTCAGTTAGCTCAGTTTAATCCAAAGTGCCCCTAAAAATAAATGACTTCCTGTGGCAAGAGGCAAGGGAGAGGCGGAGGTAGGGAGGGGTGTTGGAGAGATACGAAGGGTGAGAAAGCTTTAGCCAGCCTTTACTGGCTTTGAAAATGAAGAGGCCACAAGCCAAAGAACATAGGCAGTGCCAAGAATCTGTAAAAGACCCCAGCCATTGGCCAGCAAAGAAACAAGGGCCTTGCTTTTACCACAGAATGAACAAAATTCTGTAAACAGCCTAAACAAGCCTGGAAGCAAACCTCCAACTCCAGACCCTTCATAAAAAGTCACATTGGCTTTTGTTTTGATTTTGGCTTTGTGGGAGCCTAAGCAGATAACCCAGCCAAGCCTGGATGACTACTGACTTACACAAGTGGGATAATTAGTGGATGTTATTGGAAGTCTCTAAATTTCCGGTGAAATGTGAGGGCAGCAACAGAAAACTAATACAGTAAGGGACACACAAGAAAGAAATGGCGAATGCACCTAGAACCTAACACAGATACAGGTTAAACCTTCCTAATCCAGACATCTGAAAGCTAACATCCTCCCAAATCTGAAACTTTTTTGAGTGTCAGTGTAACGCCGTGTGTGGCAAATTCCATACTGATCTCATGTCACAGCCAACCCTTGGGCCCACTAAAAACATTAAATAAAATTACACTCAGGCCATTCAGCCTGCAGTGCCATGTCTGGTTAGTGGAAGGACAGAGGGTCGGACCCCAGACTGAGTTCTCAGCCCAGGTTCCTTCCACAGACCCCCACAGAAGGAGGTGTGAGCGTCAGCCCACCTACTCACCTTCCTATAGATGGCAAATATGGTTCCAATGGAGGCCAAGCAGTCGATATTGGAGGATCCATCCAGTGGGTCAAAGCAGACCACATATTTCCCCTGTATGACAGAGAAAAAAAACCTGCCAGTCTATCTTCCCATTAGCGTGACTGTTCTAGGTCGGGATGCTTGTGGAAGACAGCTCTGTGTCAAAAAGCAATTCAGAGAGCCAGGCAGTGGCGCACGCCTGTAACCCCAGCTCTTCTACTCCAGAGGCTGAGGTGGGAGAACGGAAAGTTCTAGCCCAGCCTGTACAGTTCAAGGGCGATTCATGGAGCTGAGATCCCATGAAGAGACTCATTGCACCCACAAATAGCGTAGTACATGCTTGAAAGAAAACCCAGGTGGGGAGGGGTGAGAGACTGGTTGGGGGAGGTACTATTTCATAAGAGGCCTGTTTAGAATTGAGAAACATAGACAGCCTGGTGGGGTAGCACACGCCTGTAACCCTAGCTCTCAGGAGGCAGAGGCAGGAGAATAATTGTGAGTTCAAGGCCCACAGTGAGACCTTGTCTCAAAAAACCAAAACCAAAACCAAAGGAGGGAAATGTTAGGGAGAGAGATTAGCAAGTGTCCCTGCACGGACAGCAGGCATGAAATGCTTTTAAGAACTGGCATGCAAACCCCCGTAGCTCAGGCCAGCCAGGAAAGACAGCGGCAGATTAGACTGGACTCTACAAATCCAATGCCCCAAAAGATACCCGCGCCTATTACTGCACACCCACCCACTAAGGACTCTTAGTAAATCACTCTGATTTATGGAATCATCTTTTACTAGGCAGCCTAATATTTCCAACTAAAGAAACGTGCAATCTCTTGATTCCAGAGGACAAATATTAAACAGAAGAAAATGCCGTAAAACGCAACACGATTTTTCTCGGCTTTATAGCACCATCTGCTGGTGAGGATGGGCACTGCAGCCCGCCCCAGGACGCACCCTCCTCTCCCGTGCTGTGATAATAGCATCTTTATTCTCTTCGGAGACCAGGACGCAGGTGCTGTAGGAAGACTGGAGCATGTTGATCACCAGGGCGTTGGACAACACGTCCAGTTTCTTCACCTCATCTCCCGTCACATTCACGCTTCCTGCGATTCCATACCTGAAAGGACAAAAGGTTGAATAAAGTCACCAAGGAGGTTTTACGTTCAGCAAAGCACCCCCTTTCCTTCCATGTCTCCGCAGACTCAAAATCACGCCTACTCAGGAAGTACGTTACGTCTCGCAGCGGTGACTCCCAACCTTGCTTTCTTGACGCTTTGGGGACACTGTCATATTTCCTTCATCTCCCAAGATTAAGCAAAATTCAATCTTACTAAAATACAAGCCTATGACCTGCCCTCGAGGCAGACGGGAAGGGAGAGCTTCTAAACTCAGACACATCACTGTAATGAAGGACTCCAAAAATAAAGGATGGTGGCCTTCCAGCGCTGGGATTTCAGGTCTTTGTGGATTAGCTAGTCCTGCTAGGTTGAATTAAAAATCGCCCTACAATAGCTTGGTTCTACAGAAACAAAGAAAGAAATTTGGGGACAGTAGAATTTGCTTCTTTACTACCATCCCAGGCAAGGTGTGACAGAGCATGCCTGAGCTCCACTGCGGCAAAGCCGTCCCCACGCAAGTGTCAGGTACCACAGAAGCTCTTGCCCATGCGGCTATGGCCTCCGGTCTCTCTCACCTCCTTCAGCCAATTTGGGTCTCCAGAGCCCCCCGGTGCATGCTTTCAGATGCATCGCCAGTCTTGCCAACTTCGCCATGTGCCTGCTATCCCCTCCGGCTTTGCCTCAAAGATCACTCCTCAGAGAGGCCTTCCCTGGCTACCTATCTACAGTAGCAACTCCCAATCCCCCACGCCTTTCTAATTTATTTCTGTCTCTCTCCCTGATTACCATTTATCATTTGTTTATTGTCTGTAAACTCCATACAGGCATGGATTTCCCTCCCGCCCCCCATTCAGACAGCAGCTGTGTCTTAGTATACCCTGGCCCCCAGCAGGGAGGCCTAGTCCCATCCTGCCTGGGCCACTCGCACTGCACCAGCTGCAAATGTCCTGTGGCCTGCAGCCTCCGTGAGCTACTTCTCCCCTTTCACCTTCATTCCCAGCCTCCTCCTACACACAAAGCTTTCTGCCACTCTGACGCACCCCTTAACCCCTCTGAGTCCTCCTGGCCCTACCTCACACCAGACACACACCCCACTGCTCCCATGTCTGCCCCCATCTGTTTTGTAGTGTCTTCCTGCTGTTAGCCCCTTGCCGAGGGCAAGAACTGTATCTTAACCATCTGGGTTTCCACAGTGCCCAGAGGCACTGTCCACGCTCAGCGTTGCATTCACACTGAATGGTGAAGAAAGCATAGAAGAAGGTCATTTCCCTGTGCTTCCTGGTTTTAGGAATCCCCAGGTGGCCCTAACCTAAGCCAGAGTGGAGAACCAACCCCTGATACCTGGCAAGGGCACCTTGCGCCCGCCTTCCTGATGGCACCCTCCCCTCTTCTGCCCCACCTCACCCCACCCCATATTGGAAATCTCACGCGATGGGCCAGCAGCCTTGGAAAACAGCACTGGTAGCTTGGCCTCAAAGACTGCACCTCCTGGTTCATGAAAAAAGCTAAGCAAGCAAACAACAGCGGCTACGGCAACACACTGGGTCCTTTTGCAATGGATTTAAAGGGACCACAAGCACAGTCCTCTTGTTTACTATGGAATCTTGAGGCTTCCTGCTGCTGGGGAATGAAGAGTTGCGGTGTCCAAGGCCTGGGTGGCTAGAGCTGATGACTAGGCCTCTTCTTTGCTTTGCAAACCATCACCACCATCACTGCCAACTCCACCTCTCTGCCGCCCCCTGCAACCTCCCTCCGCCTCCTGGGCAGCATTGCTTCCAGAAAGATTGGAAACTCATAAGAACCTGTGATTTCCCAACAGTTGCTTCAAGTTAGATCAGGCACAAAAAGAGTTTTCCACCCTGTAGGTAGGACAGTATCTTTTAGCGCGTTAACTAGCACTAAAGCGCATTGACAACTTCGAAACGGGATGTTTTACTGTCTGAGCAGAGAAAGCCATGGAGAGGCTTCCAGGAGTGGGCAAACTAGCACTCACTTCTTCCCACAGTAAGAGGAGGGGAGATGAAGATTTTGGATAACTTTAAAATTGCAATTATCCAGCCTGCGCGTAGACATGTCTTCCAAAAAAGGGAAGCAAAGGAATAGGGCCTGACGTTTCTCGAACCGTGGTAGGAATATGTGACAATCTGAGCCTTACAGGCAGAAGCAAGGCTGCTCCAGGACAGAGGAGCTTTTCCTTCTCACAGAAGCAATTCCAGGGGCCAGCACCCTGTTTCAATTGAGCAAAAAAAAGTGGTATTCGGACTCTCGGTTTCCAGGGCCGTGCCTGCCACCTAGTGGTCAACCGGCTCCATCGGCCAGACAGCAAATTTCTCCAGACCTGAACAAGGAACCATAGCAATAATGGAGCATTAACTGAGCATTTATTATGTGGCTGACTATAAAAATCATCAGCACACAGACTTACTAACTTTGAAAACAACTCTACTTCTTAGAGGCTATTACTATTCTCTTCATCTTACAAATGGGATGACAGTTCCTAGTGGGTAAATCACTGCCCATTGATCACAGTAGAAACAGCCAAATTAGATAAGCACCTTAATTATCCGGTTCCTAAGACCAGTTCGTGTTGACACCTGACTACCACAGAGACAGAGCTTTGCAGTAGATGAGTATGAATCCAACCTAGGCATCTGCTGAGCAGCTGAGAGCCCTGCACTGGGAAGCCCTGCCAGTGTGGGCGAATAATCCCGAGATGGCACCAAGGAAACCACCTAAGTATGGCAGTGCCCGTACACAAGGAGAAACAGTGCTGCTCTCTAACGTCACTCGGGAGTGGGGCGGGGCCGTGTGCCTGCACCTCACACTCAGGAAAGCCCTTGGAGGCAAAGCTGGGCCATTCTGTGAACTTTACAGCAGCCCGTGGACGGCGGAAAGGCTGAACACAACAATCTTTGAGCTGGGTCCCATGACTGGGTCCCAGGCCCTTATATAAATAACATCTGTAATGATCTTATGGTGATTAAATCTTGTGATATAATACTTTCCGTTAAAGCACTACCTTGCTAAGAATAAATATTTTAAATAATTGGGCTTTGTTAGCTGTTCATGTTGGGTTCTTCTTTCCCCGTGCCAGAATGTGGGTCCCTTTTTCTTCAGAGATGAAATTACTACCGGGGAAATGGAAGCTCCAAGAAAGTCTGTTTTAATCACATGTTTATGCTGGATGCTTGGCCGTGATCATCAGCAGCTGTAGCATAAACTCGGCCTCATTCTGCGCTTGGAAAGAAGACAAATGTGTGAGATCGCTCCCTGCCCCAGCCCCCCGGCCAAGCACCTCCAGCTTCCTGCACACCAAGCAGAGATGACCATAAAGAGTCACAGAAGAAAATTTAAAACGCGGCCTGCAAAGACTCCCTTCTGTGGTGAGACAGGAAGAAGAGGACAGGGGCCTGTGAGATCTTCCACCCTGTGAATGATTTCTAGCTCCTCATGTGTTGGCAAAGGCACCACAATCAAATGCTCAGATCTGCAAAGCACATCAAGAACTGCTTCAAGATTCCAGCGAGAATCTGAATAGGCAAATGCAAGTATTCTCATACTTCATTCAGTCTGTGCTTTAATGCAACAAGCCGCTGCACTTAGTATCACTGTAAGAAATGGTAACCGGAGAGACAAGATGTTTTTGTTTCTCCATTTTATGTCTCAAAGTATTCGGTTCCTTTTTTTTTTTTTTTTTTTGGTTTTTTACATTTTCTTTATTTTAAAGAGAATAAAAGTAAAAACATTAAAAAAACACAGAATTTCAAAACAAGATGATAGGAAATCAACAATGGTTGTTATATTGTATATTATTATCTTCAAAGTAGTTGTTCAGACGACCAGATATAAGCATGCAAAATTGGTAAAAAGAAAAAAGCATTAACTGTTCCTTTCAATAAACCAACAGAAATTAGTAGTACAATTATCTTAGCTACCTTGGTTCCTTTCTTGAAACATGTCAAAGGTTCCTTTATGAAAGCGTACGTGATACAAACTAGAAATGCACAAAAAGTAAGTAAGCTTTGGACCCAGTTCTCAGCCCAAGCACCTGCAGCTCCCCGACCCGGCCTGGGCCCTAGCTCTGCAAAGTGTCCCCAGGACTCACAGGTGGGCCAGGCCGGCCTTGCGCACAGCTGAGGAGATAGCTTTGATGGCCGTCAGCATGGAGTTCAGCAGCTGGGTTAGCTCCCCCGTCCCTTTGGCCTGGCGCCCCTTTTCCATAACATAGCGGGTCAGGGTGAGCATGTCTGTTTCAAAGGGGCTTCTGTCTGTCATTGTGGCAGTAATGCTCCAAATCCTCCTCTCCTAGCAGGAATCCTTGCTTATCTGGCTCCACAGGGTGCAAGCTGATAAGAAACCTGTGCAGGCAGAGCCAGGGCCTTAAAGGAAAAGGGCCTCTGCCCACGTGACTGAAGTAACTGGACAAGCCCTCAAGGAAATCTCTCTGGCCTGCTGATTGTGACAGCTGCCAAAGTGCCAGGAGCAGGCTGCAAACAGAACCAGGCTGCCAGCAACACAGATAATGCTTTCTCTCCACGGGCGCCCCTCTTTAAAGGTCCTAAGATGCAGCCACTTAGTGAGAGATCAGCTCATAGAAAATGATCCATAAGACCCCCTTATTCAAGGACACAAAGTGATTCTTCACACATGTCTGCTGTAGAACCTGACTCCCCCGAGGTTATATGCGACAGGCTGGCAGATATCTTTTCTGGGGCATAGGTCACATAATTAAATAATGGCAATCTCAGGGTCTCTTTAGCCAAGCTGCTTCCAAATAAATTCATTTCCAGAAAGTGTGTATTATTGGTTGGATCCTCAGAGCACATCTTCAAATCCGGAAGAACAAAATTACTTTCCCAGCGTGATTTCTAGCACCAGTGTTATTTTGTCAACATCTCTGGATTTGCATTTTATAACAAAAATACTTGCTTATTAAAATCAAACGCTAAGTATGCGTAAAAAACAAAAAAATGAGCCCTCATCACCAGCCCACTCCCTAGAATAGCTGCTAGAGGGCTGGTGAGGGTGAACGTAGTGGCCAGGCACTGGGTGATATGTGTGGTGGCCGAAGTGTTTCTCTAAGAGTAGACAGAGCTGGTTCCGAGTCCCAAGCTGGTTATCTGTTCTTCGACAATTTGGCAAAGTTACTAACACTTGCAGGCTGTTTTCTTGCTCATAAATACAAAAAACAAGAAAACATTCACCTTCTAAAGTGATTGTATTAAAATTATACTTTGCTAGCAATCTTTTCCACTTTTTCATGTACCTGTGATTAATATGCATACATAGATAATTAAGATTTTGAAAACTGCTCTTCAATTTGATATCCCACTCCTCCTTTGACACTTATTTCAAAATTAGAATGTGCTTAGCTATAATAAAAAAATTCAGAGCAGTTTATACATGTAGGGGTTTATTTTCCTTATGGACCATAAGGTTATTGGGCTGTGGCTGTTGCAATCCGTCAGCTCATCAAATATCCCGTGAAGGACTCAGTCTGGGTCTGCTGGCTTTTGCTCCCCTTCCTGTCATCCTGGGGCACAAAGTGCTCTGAATGGCTGCTTTTTTGAGGTTGGGGTCAAGAAGTGACTGCAAGATGCAGAGAGTGGCCTGTTGCCTTGTTTGCAGATTTCCTCTTCCGTCTAACACTGCCATCTGAGCCAGAGCGTTTCCCAGGTGATAGTGCAAAGCAAAACCCCTCAAAGGGCACTGTTGCATCCGCCCTAGAGAAACCGCACATTCCCACAGAAGTCCGCGCATGGATATTTATTTGCATCAGCTCTATTTATAGTTGTCAGAAACTGCAAACAACCAAATGTTTCTCAACAGTGAATGGGCAACAAATTGACAAATCCATGGAATAGATATTTTTTAGCAATGAAAAGGAACAAGCTATTGCTATATGAATTTCTTGGAGTGAAAGAAGCCAGTGGCCAAAGATGATCTGTTATAGGATTCCAGGTATATAATATTATCAAAAAGATCAACTGATGGTGAGAGAGAACAGCTTCATGGCTTCTGAGGAATAGGGGTGTGGAGATAGCTAGGATAGGTGAGATTTCTACAGCACATGGACTGTTCTGTATCCTGATTTTGGATGCAGCTACTTAAATCTATATTATGTGTTAAAATTCATAGAACTGTACTTTTTTTAAAAGTCACTTTTACTGTAAAACAAAATACAAAGTACATCATGGACACTGTATATATCATATTGGCCTACTAGGACTTAAGTAGAAAAATCAGAATTTCTATAGTAACTTTCCTATGTTTGTTCTGATTACATTTATTAAAATATTGATTTAAAAATGAAACAATTTATGCTGGGTGTGGTGGTCCATGCCTGTAATCCCAGCACTTAGGAAGCTGAGGCAGGAGGATTGTTTTGAGTTTGAGGCCAGCCTGGACTACATAGTGAGTTCCAAGGCCAGCCTGAATTATAGAATATGACCCTGTCTCAAAAACAAAACAAAACAACAGAAAGAAAAGAAACAACTTAAATTTAAATGAAATTACAATCTACCATTGAGGCTTATCTTTTGTATGTATTTCATGTCTTCTTTTCAGTAATTCCTTTATCATTTTAGCCATTTTTAGGCATGTGGTTCAGTGGCATTATGTACATTCATATCGCTGTGTAGCCGTTGGTATCATCCATCTTTGTAACTTCATCTTCGAAAACTGAAATCTGACACCCATTCAGCATACACTCCCATTCCCCCTGCTTCCCACTCCTGGACCCACTAGTCTAACTTCTGTCTGGATGGATTTGGCTACTCGAGCTACCTCATAGGAGTGGGATCATAGAATATTTGTTCTTTTGTGATTCCCTTATTTCACTAAACAGAATATCTTCAGGGGTCATCTATGATGTAGCCCCTGTCAGAATTTTTCTTCTCTTTAAGGCTGAGTGTTATATATGTCACACTTTGTTTATCCATTCATTCATCTGTCGGGGGACACTTGGGTTGCTTCTCCTTTTTGGCTCTTTTGAATAAGCAGTTATGAAACAGCACGTGTTTGGGTCCCTGCTTGCAGTTCTTTGAGGTATATGCATCTAGAAGTTGAATTACTAGTGCGTATGGTAATTCTGTTTAATTTCTCGAGGAGCTGCCATATCATTTTCTGCACCATTTTGTACTATTTTACATTCCCACCAGCCACGAACAAAGATCCCAGTGTTACAAATTCTTGCCGACACTTGTTTTTTTCTTTTCTTATAGCAGCCATCTTCACGGGTGTGAAACATCATTTCACTGTGGCTGACAGAGGCATTTCTCTAATTATTCCAGATATGGTATTGAGTGTATTTTTGTGTTTATGGTCATTTCAGTAATTCTTTTTCTTATGTTTTATTAATGTAACTAGCTGTTCCCAACAGATTTGTAATGAGACAGACAAGCAAACCAAAAAGCCAGGGTTCCAGCACAGATAGCTGGAAGGTCCCTGGCTCCTGAGCATTCCACCACTGTCCAGCCAAGGCGGATACCAGGCACAGTAACAGTCACAAGCCCTTTGAAGCTACATTTAAATGTTAGAAGTTCAAGTTACTCACATGGCCCAAAATTGCAGCTGCTGACCTTTCAGCAAAGGCCAAAGTTCTTCCAGGGCCCGAATCAAAGTGGAAACTTATAGAGCAGCCGCGGTACAGCCCTGCGGAAGGGAGAACGGCACTCCCCTTGCAGTTATTGCAGTGATGTTAACACATTGGTGACCATGAAGTTATTTATGAGCTGTCTATGCTTGATGAAAGATGCTTACAGGTCTGGGTCGCAGTGGATCAGGACAAATGAAACCCTGAACAATTAAGAAAGCCTTGGTCTTAGAGCAGGGCCCTCCACCTGCAGACCAAGGTCTAGAAATGGAAAACTCTACTAATGCGCTTTCCGTGTGTCCTCTCCTGCCATGTGTTCCTTCACCAGTCCTCAGCATTCCAGCTGACGTCCTGGGGTAAGTGCTCAGTCTGTGATCCCAGTCTTGGAGAAAAAATCAACCTGTTTATAAGAGGAAAATTCAAGGCCACATTTACTTTATGTCACTCTGGTCTCTGGCTGTTACTGATTGGGCCAGAGGAACACACTTGATACAGCTGAACCAGTCGGATTTTATTCTCCAGGAACTTAGGGGCGAGACAGAGACAGACCCCAGTGAATTAGATGACAGCACCAGAGCTAAGAGAGATGGGTCCTGCAGGACAGGAAGCAATGAATACTGGGCTTCATGAGCTCTCCCTGCATTGCTCCAGCAAACTACCTTTCTGATTTAGCCAGAATGAGTAGGGTTTTTTATATTTACAGTGAAAATGGCTTTGACTACAGCAGATATTGTAATCAACAACATTATGTTATTATTACTACAATTTTTCAAAGGAAGAAATTGAGGCTCAGAGAAGTTAAAAATAAAGAAACAACACATCACCAAGCTCAGGCTTTATCACTCAGCCTACGTGTGTGTCACTACAGTAACGAGTCCCAAGCCCCAGTCGCTGAGTCAAACAAAGATTGATTTCGCCTTCACATTGTAGCTTGGTGGCTCAGGCCTCGCTCCAGGCTGCTTCTGTGTTTTCACATTGTCAGGAGAATGCACAGCTTCTGGTGGCAAGGAAGGGGAGAGAGAGGAAAACCTGTTGTGGATTGATGGTCAACCTAGAAGCACTGCATGTCATCTCCATACCCACCTCACTGGCCCTCACCTAAACACAAGGGTGGCTGGGACATGTAGTCTTCATGGAGGTCCATGAAGAAGAGATGATTTTATGAGCCCATGACCTCTCCACCAGCCTCATACAGCTGATAAAGGGCAGAAGTAAAGCCTTGACCTCAGGTTATGCCAACTACCTCAATCAGCTGCTGTGACCAACTGCTTTCCTGCAGCTCACCCGCACTCTCAGCTGAGCCCTGCCTCACCACCATCTCTGCCCACTTCTCCTCTAGCTTGTGAAGTCATGGGGAGCCCCGACATCCGAGTACTTCAGGGAAACCAAAAGAAGCATTTCACTGAAAGAGCAGAGCCACTTTGAGTTTAATCCTTCAGATTTCTGAAGGGTTCAGTCAGAAGCCTGGGTGTGACAGCACCTATTTGATGAGAATGGTTGTGCAAAGGAAGAGTGCTGGATCTGTTGCATGGGGCCCTTGAATTATACCCCTTGGGATACATGACTAGAAGGTGTTTCCTAAAGCTGCTACCAACCTGGTGGTTTAAAAAAAACAGAAATACATTCTCTTACCATTCTGGAAACTAAAGCCCAGATCAAGGAGGCAACAAGGCATGTGCCCTCTGGCGGCCCTAGGGGAAGACATTTCTTGGCCTCTTCTAGCTTCAGGTGCATCCCTCAGTTGCCTTGGCTTGTGGCTACATCACTCCAATCTCTGCCTTCATCTGTACATTGCCTTCTCTTCTGTGTGTCTCTTTTGAGGTCCCTTGTTGAATTTAAGAGCCACTTAGTAATCTAGGATGATCTCATCTCAAAATCCTTAATTTAATTATATCTTTAAAGAATAAGGTCACATTTACAGGTTCCAAAAATCTGGACATGGGCATGTCTTTGGGGAGTACCATTTAACCCACCATAGGCATCTTGAAATGATTCCCAATTCTGAAGTTGGGGAACAGGCCACAGTCACACTGAGGGCTTTGAGAACCAGTGATGCTCAAGTTTTCCCATTCCATCCGGATGTTGTTCCATCAAATGCCCCTAGGCATAAGCTATGTCTGTCTTGCCTGTGGTGGCTCCAATTCATGCTGGAAGGATGTTTCTTAGCTTTGGTGAAGGACACAAGTGCACTATTGTGGAGAAATGACCCTGCTAACTTGCCTTAACACTCTTAGAGTTTAGGCTCAAGGCCAAGTGTAGCCTTGACTTGGAAGGTCAGTGGTATAGCCATGAAAGCTTGATGAGCAAAAATCAGACCTTTGGGTGGAGAAGAAAAGAAATGAGCTCTCTGTAAATTACTGATATAGACGAAGTCAATAGAAAATTGCTAGCAGCCAAGAACGTGTGTGGTTAGAAGGGGAGGTGTTCCTTTGCTAAAGGAACATTATATGTTTGATTGGGAGTAGAAAAGGCCTCCCGCATGACAGGGAGGCGGAGTTTCTGTGCATCCTTATGTGATACTCAGCAGATGGGATCCTTTCACTCTTGTCAGTCCAAGGGCAGCATCCAAGAATCCCAAGGTCAACTCCAACTCTGAGTCTAAGAATCATCAGAGTGAATCAGTGTGTACTGCTGTTTCTGTAGATCTGCGATTATCTTTTCCAGAGCGGGATACAGAGAGGCCTTGGATGTATCCACAGTGGAATGCAAATAAGCTCAGCTGAGAGCCTTCTATTAAATGAGCTCATATCTCAGCCAAAAGACATCATGCAGAGCACACAGGCAGAGGCAGAGGAAATGGGTCTTTTGTTGTTTTGCTTGTGTCATCACGGCCGGAGTTTGGGGAGGTATTTTTCCCACTTTGTGTTTGTCTCAACCGTAGGAAGAAGGTCCCAGATAAGCATCTCCTTCCATGCTTTGAGAATCAGAAATCACCCGAGCCACAAGAAGGTTAAAAATCAAAAGGGTTTTGGGAGTAGAGACCTTCCTGGGAAGGTGAGCCCCAGTGGAGTGGGGGAAAGGCTAGGATCTGGTTCTAGTCAGGGAACAAAAGCAAACCCAATGCTTAGGACCCAGCTAAGTTTCCTGTTGGAAAAACATGGAATTCAGGCAGAGTATCTGGAGAGAAAGGAGCAGGATTTACACAGACACCTATTTTAAGTTCACAGGTGAAGATGTATATTTGATTCACACACATTTTTAAATCTAGAGCTCAAGAAAGGCCACAGATGTTACTTAATACCTTGCGATAATCTTGGACTTCTGGTCTGGAAAGGACCAAAATTAGCTAAGGAGTGAAGTGTTTATAGAGGGAACTTAGCGAGAAACATACCTCTTTGCCACATAATATGTTTCCTTAAATCTGATTCTTATAATGAATTATTTTCCTTATGGTAATGAGACCCTAGAACATTAGGCTTTATTAGTTCAACAATGTTCTGTGATTTTAGAAAAATTAGCATCAAATAGTAATGTGAACTTTCAGTTGTGACTCAGATGGCTATAGCTATGGTTGAGAGGACAAGCCATGTGCAGCTATGACCATATGCAGCTATAAGTAATGCTTTCATCCCTAGAGGGCACAAATAGCCATATTATCTGGATGGGACAACATGTGATGCATTAAGTCAGAGTTTAGCGGCCAGAATGCCTGGATTCAAATTCTATCTCTGCCACTCATTGGTTGGAGAACTTGGGCAGATTTCTTCAACTTTTCCTTTTTTTATTTCATCAACTTTAAAATAAATTACTGATAGCACTCAATTCATAAGGTTGTTGTGAGGATAATGATGAATTGTTATTACCATTATTATTTTTTGACACAAAGCAACACATACTTTTTTTAAAGGAAGAATATGTTTATTTCTCCTCCCTCTGCTCAACATATATCTTTCCCACCAGTGATATTATGGAGATAGCATTTGGGTTAGGTAGCACCAGGCATTAGAGTGCATTAGATGGTAAAAATATCTGTGCATTTCGTCTGCTGGCTAGGAACATAGAATGCACGGTCAGAATGGGTTAGTGCTGTGTGAGGCAACTCTTTGGGATGAGGACAAGACCAGCTCTTCATTTGGCAGAGTGCTTCTTGTAGATCTCCAGGAACTCCCTCACATCGTCAGGGGACCCCAGGATGACTGGCGCTCGCTGGTGGATATCGGTGGGAACGATGTCTAATATAGCTTCTTTGCCTGTTGTGGCCAGTCCCCCTGCCTTCTCCATGACAAAGGCCATTGGGTTACATTCATACAGTAGTCTCAACTGGAAAACAAGACCCGAGACCAGCATCCTCAAATGAGAAAGTGTGACATAGAGAGGGGTCTTGTTCTATGCCAAACACTTCAAAGATAGTGTGATTTCCAAGGTAACTGATCTCTGCTTTTTCCTTTGAGGAGATGGCAGAAGTTCCCTCCCACTCCAGGTTGTGTCTGAGACAAATGATTAACCATTTGGTTAAAGTAAAACCTTTCACCAAGCCAGATCCAGCAATAGATTTCCTGATGTGAATGTGAGTCAGACCACCTGGATCCAGGACAGAATGACATTTTGGCAGTACTGACAGTTCCCTTCTCTTTATAGCACAGAAATTGGACCTAATGAGTGATTCTGTATGTGTTTTGGATGGAGCTTTGCCTATTCTAAAAGCATTTTAAAAAAAAAATCCACAGTAGTGCCTGGCTGCAGACATCTGGAAAGCAGACTGGCTCCTCCAAACAGTGTAATATTGTTTGCAACTCTGTGTGCATTCCTTTTACAATTCTCCTAAGGCTCTGGGGTTGGGATTTAGTATATTATACATCTTGGCATTTGCTTTTAAATATTAACTTTTTGTCGTAGGCATTTTCACACAGACTGCCTACTGAGCAGACAGCTTTGTGCAGGTGCTTCCTGATTCTATTTCCTTATAGGTGTCCATGCCAGACTTGAAAAACCGAAAAAAAAAAAAAATAGGAGGTGCGCCAACATTTGTATTAAGATACAATTTTTTGAGGCATTCAAGAAAAGTGCTATAAATTGGGCTAATAATATAGGTGGGACACATGAGGTGGCGATAGCAAGACTGATGCCTTATGTACAGAAGGATGCCCTCAGTGAACTGGACTCAATCTGTCCAAAATACATCAGTTTCTATTTTAAGGGGATTTTTGTTCTGATTCCTTCTCTTACTGTTATGGCTTATATCTATGCATCCCCCAAAGCCTCCTGGGCTCATTGGTGGGGCTGTGGGAGGTGACTGGATCCTGGGTGTGTGACACCAGATTAGTCTACTGACTGATTTAGCACAGTTATAAGTACAGGTGATGGACTTACTAATGAGGGGAGACCCACTGTTATGGTTTGTGTCTAGATGTACCCCCAAAGCCTCATGCAGTCACGGGGCAGGCTTCCGGAGTTTATTATGGATTCATGTCCAATGCTGGGATTATGGGTGTGAGTGCTACACCCATCTTGGGGTGGGTAGCCTGCATATAATATAAGGGAAGGAAAGAGGCTTACTGGTCTCCTCCCTTTTTGTTCTTGTTGCTTTTGCTGCTTTCTGCCACCATAAACTGTTGCCCTCTACCATGTGCCACTGCACCTAGAGGCAGCTGAGTATGGACTGAAACCTGTACAAATTGTGATCTAAAAAAACCTTTCCTTCCTTAATTTTGGGCATTGGGTATTTTGTCTCAGTAACAAGAGAAAAATAAACAAGCTGTCTTGGTTATCTTTCTCTCATTGCTGGGATAAAATACCTGACAAAATACCTTACAGTTTGTGGAGGTTTCACTCTATACTGGGCTGGTTCCAAGGCAGAGTGGCACATGGCAGAGAGCAAGTGTTCATGGTGGTGGAACACAGCAAAATCAGAACAAAAAGGGAGGAAAGGTGGCAAGCAGCCTCTTTCCCTCCCTTACATTGTATGCAAACTACCCGCCCCAGGGCAGGGATAGAATTCACACCCATAATCCCAGCATTGTAGCATGGATCAATCACAAATCCTAGAAGCTTACCTCATGACTGCATGAGGATTTGGGGGGACATGCAGACAGAAACCATAACAAAGACAGAATTTGGTACCAGCAGTGGGGCCATTGCAGTGACTATACCTGACCATGTGGTTCAAGAGTTTTTAGAATGGCTTGTGGGAAGATTTTGGAAAGCTTTGGAGATGTTGCCTGAAAGAGTAGAGCTTGAGTGCCTTATACTGTTCTGTATGGGAGATTCTGCTCAGGGCTCAGAAGACCAGAAGACTGATAGAAATCCTGCCAGTAAAGACCAGCTTTGGGTGGTTTCTGCTGGGAAGAAGGACTGCACTGGTTGTTGGATTCCAGATAATGTGTGTTATGGCTTGGCAGAAAGTTCATCTGCATTTTGCTCATGTCCAGAGACATTGCCTGAGACTGAGATTAAGGGCGGCAGACTAATTAACCTGGCAAAAGAAAGTTCAAGGCAGTCTAATGTTGAGGTGGTGGTATGGCTATTGTTGGGGGCTTTTAGCCAGATTTATGTTGATAATAAAGAGCAAAGATCCCAGCAGGATGATTTAAAATGTTGCGAGTTTGGCCAGAAAGGAAGCTCCAATAAAGCTGTGGACTGCAAAGGAAGAGCAGAGGAAATCTTGACTGCTGAGAAGGAACAGGATAATAGAAAAGATGGCCTGAGGGCATCAAGAAGCAGCAGTACACCAACCTTTGCAGTCTCAAAATTGCAAAAGTGAAAGACTTTGCTTTGAGGAGAAAGCTGCAGAACACCATGTTTCAAATGTCAGCAGCAGCTGTGCCAGGTTCCAAAATGGCAGCAGCATAGAGAATTTGTCCCTGGATTCAGAGTGCTCAGCATAGAGAATTTGTTCATGGATTCAGAGTGCTCAGCAATCCAGGCACTCAACCCCTACAGCCAAGCAAGAAGAAAGCCTGGCTACTGCTCCAACTGGCAGCAGACCTTAGCATTATGCACATGACACCAGTTTTAGGTGCATACAGAATGCAGGAAGGCTCCCACCCAGATTTTAGAAGGTCTGGGAGGCCAGGCAGTGCACTCCTGAGAGGGCAGTATGTAAAGCTGTGAGTGAGAAGCCAAAGGTGTAGTGGAGACTCCAGAAGTTTGGAGAAGCCAGGAACATGCATCATTTGATGCAAGAAGGGAGAAAAGCAGGCCTAAGAGAGAAGCCATGGGAGCTACAACCACTAGCAGTGTCTTAGGGTGGAGCCACACAAGCCTTTTGGAGATCACAACTTGCCACAGGTTGCACTGGATGCTGGACATGAAACTATAGGACTTCATATTTGCCCTGCTGCATTTTGGACTTGCTTTGGTCCCAATCCTTTGTATTTTAGAATGGAAATATTTATCTTGTGCCACTGAATGTTGTAAGCATTTAACTTTTCATTTGTATAGGGGCTCACAGCCAAGAGTTTGCCTTACATCTTGGAGGAGACTTGGGACTTGGATTTTTCAGCAATGTGAAACTGTTAGGACTTTAGCAATTCTTAGAGATGGACTAAAATGCCTTTTGTATAAAAGGATGTATATAAGTCTTTGGGGAGCCAGGGCAGAATGTTATGGTTTGTGTCTAGATGTCCCCCCAAAGCTTCATGCAGTCATGGGGTGGGCTTCTGGAGTTTTTGGTTGATTCATGGTCCAATGCTGGAATTATGAGTGTGAATGCCACAGTCACCCTGGGGTGGGTAGCTTGCATATGCTATAAGGGAGGGGAAGAGGCTTGCTGCTCTCCTCCTTTTTTGCTTTTGTTGCCTTTGCTGTTTTTGCCACCATGAACTGTTACTCTCTGCCATGTGCCACTCTGCCTTGGAGCTGACTGAGTATGGTCTGAAACCTCCACAAATTGTGACTTAAATGTACCATTCCTTCCTCAATTTGGGGTGTTGGGCATTTTGTTTCAGCAACAAGAGAAAAGTAACCAAGACACTCACCCTGGGTATGGGCAGCATCGACAAGTAGGCTTATAGCCTACATGTAATAAAAAGGGAAAGAAGAAAGAAGATGTTGCCTCCTGCCTGCCACCCCATGAACTGCTTCTCCTCTGAAATGCCCCTCTGACATGCCACCCTGCCTTGGGCTATTTATGAAGACCTCTGCAACCTGTGAACTGAAATAAACCTTTCCTCCTTTAAGTTGTTGGTGTCTGGTATTTTGTCCCAGTAACGAAAAAGTAAGAATATTTATAAAATAGAAGTTGGGTGTGGTGGCACATGCCAGCACTTGAAAGGCTGAGGCAGGAAGATCACTGTGAGTTCAAGGCCAGCCTGGACTAAATAACGAGACCCTGCCTCAAAAATAATAAAATAAACAAACAAAAAAAGGCCATCTATGCGTTAGAAAAACAAAGCAGATATAATGCTTGGGAAAGAAGTACGCAGTCACCTTGCATAGAAGAAAAGGGTGTCTCTTAGCCAGCATAGGAAAGCACAGTGTACCCTGTGGCTTGCTGGGAACACCACCTGTGTTGAAGCAGCTGTCACTGGGAGCTGCCTACCTGAAAACTCCAGGTTTCCCTAGGTTTCTTTCTTTCTCTAAAAGGTATCATTTTCCAAGTAGCAAATGTCAGGCCCATTAGTTATTTCTATTTTATGCCTTTTGAAAGCAATCAAAGAAGCTCTCTCTTTGCAACACACATTTGATTTGTTGTCTTGGTAATGAGATTAGACTATTTATGAATGGAACTCATTTTGCCCAAGCCAAACCATATACCCAGTGGAAGCGCTAAGCGATTTTAGTCTCCTCCTGACCATAACTCCATTAATTCTCTTTTGCCATAGCATTGGAAGGGCTCTCAAGGGAACATTTTCACATTTAGTTGATATCGTCTGGCTTTATCTTGAGCCTAGAAAAAAATATGCCACAGGCATCCCAAGAAACCAACTGGAATGCATAACAGCTGTCATAACCTTTTTTCTTCCCAATGAACTCAAATTCCCTAGGCTGAAAATGAAATCCATTCCTCCTTAGTCACTTTTCAAGGCCCGTGCTTACCTTCCCATTGGGGCTTTTCTTGTTAGCAGGGTATAGAAAGATCCCTCCGTAGACCAAAGTGCGGTGCACATCAGCCACCATGGAGCCCACATACCGGGCCCCGTAGGGAGCTGAATTATCCTACAAGGTTACAAACAGCACTGTAAGGGTTGCAGAAAATAAAGAACATTCTCTTCATACCTTACGCTTATTTGACCCCACAACCAGTTAGTGAGCACCTATAAGGTGTGTGTTTGGAACTGTAGTAAGAAATATAATGGAAATACCATAGAGGGATGTAGCTCAGCAGCACAGTGACTGCCTGGCAAGGGTAAGGTTCTGAGTTTGATTTCTGGTACTCAAAAAAAAAAAAAAAAAAAAAAAAAAGAAAGAAAAAAGAAAATACCATGGAAAATGGAGGGTGTCTCCTACACATCTCCCCACAGGTCATATAACTGTTAGAGGCTCCAAAGAGGGTGTGGTTGATTGTGGGTATAGGGTCAGAGCAGGCATCACAAAAATTGTAATATTTAGCAGAACCTTGAAGGTGGAGAAAGGATTTTGGCACATGAAGGAGCTGGGAAGAATCTGCCCAAGTAAAGACTTAGCCACCCAGAAAGGCCAATGTCGTTGACATAGGGCCCCTAGGAATGTGTGCAAGGGTTGGGCATGGGAGGGCCACTAGGGCAAAGAGAAAGGAGCAGCATTCAAGCTAGAGGGAAATTCTGGGGTCAGCTCGGAGGGCCCTGGATGCCATGCTAACAACATGTGGGCTTCATTCTCAGAAAACAGCAGCCATCAACAGCTTTTAAGCAAGGGTGTAAAAAAATTAGATGTTCTCCCACAGAGCTGGTTGTGCAATTAGTCAGTTCTCTGCATATTCACGAACTTGTAATCTCTTTAGAGAGGAGGACACTCTCTTGAGACAACTGATAGAAATTCATCACGGATGTAGGCCTGGAAGGACAGGTACAACATGGCAGGTGCCAGGGTGGGAGACCTGCCACCTGGGATCCCAAAAGTAAAAGTGTTCTATGGCCTTTCATTCATCGGGTTAACTTTAGTATCCTAATTTTCTTTTGCCAAGAGAAAATGGCAAAGACTGAAATAGCACTACCATTTTGACATTAATCACAGGCTCAGGGTAGATGGAAATCCAATTCACCTCTACTCTAGCCTCCTTTCACCTCTGGGATCAATCACGATCAATGGGTACATGACTTTAGTCCAAGATGAAGCATCCTTCTCAATCCCAAGGGTCCTTTTTCTTCTCTGGGGACACCCACTCCCCAGAACTTCCCCTGGTGCCAAATGCCTGGACACTAACATTGCCCCAGCCCCAACCGCTCTCCACTCACTTACTGAAGGAAACTTCTTCCTCTGGATGTACTCAGTGATGGCAGGGTCAAAGTCCTTGGCGTAGCCTTCATTAAGGCTATAGATATTACCTTTCTTCTTGATCTTCACATTCCTGTCCACCAAAATGAATTCCCCGATGGCCTTTGAAATAAGGAAAGAAAGGTAGACAGATGAGAATGGGTGGGGCTGGGCTGGGCTGAACTGGGAGACACAAGGGCTGTGGTCACCTCATCCTGGGACACCAGGGGCTCCTACCAGACACTCCAAGAATTGTGAACCATGGGTGGGAAGAAAGAGTGGTGAGAAAGAGTGTAAAGGAAATTTAGGAGGAGGGAGCAAGTGGATGATGCTAAAGTCAATGGATGGGTGAAGGAGATTTTTGACTTAGTTAGCAAATGACTTCAGCTTACAAGAAAGAAACCATAATACTGGAAATGAAAGGCCAGAAATGCATGAAGTAACAGCAATAATCATAGCAAGAATAATAATTGTGCGTCTAAAGCAATAGAGCATATATGTGTATTTATACACACACAACTTGGTGCCGCTGGAGGGGGGATGTTGGGAGAGTCAGGTGACTGTGGAATCACAGTCCTCTACTGAACTGTACAGTTTTATCTTAGTGAAAATTGTCCCTTTTGCATGTTTCGTGTGTTGACAATGTGGAACCCTGAGTTTTGAGCCCGAGCTTATAGCACTTCAGACTCTGCTCCTCACTGACGTGCAAAGTTTGTCTCAGAGCACCGCCTCCCACTCAGCCCAGCACTGGGCTTATTCAGACCTTTGGGGTTTTAGTACTTTAAAGGAGACTCATGTGCATGATCAAGGCTCTGTTCCTTTGGGAGAGAGTACTCTGCTGAGGTAAGAGTTAAGAACAGAGGGCCAGGCATTTTATTTCCCATAACAGGGACTGGTCATTAAAGATATGGAGTATGTTGAAAATGAAAGAAAGAAAGAAAGAAAGAAAGAAAGAAGGAAAGAAAGGAAGAAAGAAAGAAGAGGGATAAAGGGAAAACTAGAATTAACAGTGGTCACTGAAAGGTATCATTGCGATTCTTTTTTACCTTATGCCTTTTTTCTGTATTTCCCAAAGTGCTGGCAATATTCTTTTAGAATCAGTAAAATGAAATAAATGCCTTCAGAAGAACACCAGGTGCTGTGTGCAGAGCTCGGGAAGTCGTGTGTTGCAGGCCCCTGTCCTAGAGCTGAGCTTAGAGTCAGAGTGTGGGGGAGGGGCGCCCCTTCTGATGGCAACTAGAAGCATAAAGCCACGAGGAAAACGAAAGCCCGCCAGAAACACACGCGTCGCTGTCTTGGTGGTTTTAGCAGACCATCAGCCTGTCCTTGAAGGGAGCCGAAAGGAAGAAGCAGCAGTGAGCATCACCCTGACGGGAGGCTTCCTCTCCTCCTAAACAACAGTGAGCAGAAGAGCTGAAATCAGGAGCAGGGGACTATTACAGCATCCTTTATTGTTCTTTCAAACATTTAGATCTGAAGAGGGGAAAAGACTATCAACCACACAGAAACTTGCTCGTGGAGACACCCAAATGCAACCTGGAACCAAGAGATTGGATTCTTTCTCTGCACATTATCCATTCAGAGGTCACAGAGGAAGCACCAGAAGATCGGCTGGGGAAGCTGCCAACGTCTGGCCAGGAAAGACATCTGGAGAGACACGGCCCTGACTTCCGAAGCGGGGTTCTGGTCTCACACTGAACTTTGCTCTGGTTCTGCGGCTGTTTCCTTCTGAAGTTACCTCATTCGGAGACTTTAACTGGCGCCATTACCCTGCCCTTATTTACTGAAGTGCTCAAGTTTCCAACGAGGTGAAAGTCCGGCTCGGGGAAGAGTGCCTGAGTCAAAGGTAGCCTGTGTTCTCATCTACACACCTGCCATGCGTCCACTAATGAGCTGCCCCAGGAGTTGCCCAACAACCTGCTCCTCACAGAGGTTTCCAGGTTGCAGTTAAAAAGTGCATAAAGTGTTGCATTAGCACCATATGAAGACATTTATACAATTACAAGGAATTTATAAATCCAGTTCTTTCCCCCTTGGCACTGTGGGCTCCCCGCATAAAGAATGTACTAATATGTTAACCATTACTCTTTTGAGGATGTGTTTTAGTGGTGGGTTTAGTTGCACCAAATATTTAAAGAGATTTGTTTCCCTAATTTACCCACTCTGTTGAAACTTTCATCTAAACTGACTAAATACATAATGGACAGATTAGTGGGCATGTGAAAAAAAACTGTCACCGAGCACCTTTTAATGGCACCAGGGCTTTTCTCTGTAAGGTCACTTTTCTCTATAAGGTGCACTCGAGGATTATCCTCATTCCCTCCTTTATTTTTATTTCTTTTAAGTTTATCAAAGCCTTAGCAAAACCACGAGGGTTAACTGCAGGTTTGCATGCATACACACAGAGTGGAATCCATTTGGAGTATTTTTGAAGAAACACTGGTGTTCGCTGCTTCAGCTGGGGCGCCCATTCCCCTTGGGAAAATAAAGCTCTTTTGATAAGGCAGAAAGGCTAGGAATGGATCTAGCAGCGGGGGCAAACAGACCAACTACAGGCGCCTTCTGGTTGATAAATGCACGTTGGTTGGCCGTGTCTTGCACATCTATGAACATTACTTCTGCTTTAACCCAGTGTTTCTTGAGACATTGGAAGTGCCCGCAAGACTGAGCCTCTGTTCCCAAGTAGGAAAGGTTGCTGGACTCCTCTGGTTCACCCAGCCCTGCCAGCACACTTCACCCAGTGCACATGGGCATTGGAGTTGTTTGGAATAATGACTGCTTTAAAGAATTCATCTTGGAACAAGGACTCTTACACTCTGGACAGACATCATTTCTCAATTCTGTGGTCTCTTTGTGTCTCTCCATCTGCCTCCCCCTCCTACCTCACATTGGTCTCTCCATGGGCCTCATTTCCTACCTTGACCTACATCTGGACACACACACACACACACACACACACACACTCAGAGCCGGCCACACACCGGCCTCCTACAAGAGTGCTCACCGGGTCCAGCATGAAGCAGTTGACACCACTGTCCATGGCGAGAACCAGCATGGTGGCGCTGCCATAGAGGGCATAACCAGCTGCCACCAGGCTCCGGCCTGCTTGCAGGGCATCCTTCTCGGAAGGCTCATCAGTAGATTTCTGGAGCAAGCAAGAGAAAGACAAGTTTCTGTTTTGGTTTGTGGCTCTTTTCCATTAGCCATACGCAAGATGCACCGTCAAGGTGTTCTTCTAATGAGACAGGGCGTCTTCCCAGTGGGCCTTCCTCCACACATCAGTCACTTCCTGATTACATTATCACAGCAGCCTTCCCACCAGACCCCAAATTTCCTGCATCTGCATCCTCCTTTCCAATCAGGGCCCTTCTCTCATTTTTCTAATTTGATATTCCCTCATCTCTCCATTATCACTTCCAAAAACAGCATGCCTTCTTGCCAGTTCTGACTAATTTAATCTGATTATGGACATCAATGTCTTTCACCTGCCTACTCCATCTTTATTTAAACAAATTAACATAGGCTGCAGGGCAGTGTGTCTGGTGAGGAAATCAATTTCATGAGTTCTTACCAATCGCAGCACATACTTCACTGAGCAGTGTGGTCATATCATTCTCACATTAAAGAATTCTCAGAAATATGGGTATGTGGCCTATTTCCCAAAGGTCATTACAGGGTATGGCAGATGCTGTCTAATTTTTTTTTTTTTACCATGACCCATAGTAAGAAAGACATTTCAAAATTGATTTCACAGAAATGAAAAGTAGAACGCTGGTTACAAGAAGGCAGGAGGTATCGGGGAGGGGTGGGGAAAGGGTGGGCAATGAGTACTAAGTTACTCCTAGATGCAAAGTAAATTCTGGTGTCCTCTTGCACACTGGGTTAATTATATAGGACAGTAATCTACTGCATATTTCAAAAAAGCTAGAAAAAGGATTTTGAATGTTTTCAGCTCAATGAAATGATAAATCTTTGAGGAAAAAGATTGCATGCTCTGATTTGAACAGTACATACTATATATGTATACCAAAACATCACATGGTACCTCATAAATTTATGCAACTATGGTGCCAATTTAAAAATCAAAAAGAAAACATCTGCTGCCTCACAAAGCAGTAGTAATCCATATGCATTCATGCACATATCCCAAAATGTAGCAAAACAGCACCTACACTTAGGAAATGCTCTAGTATTTTAAAATTTGAAACATAACCCCCTGAGTCATGTGACTCAGTTTGCCTAATACTGGTAAAGGGAACACCTTAAGGAGCTGGCTTCTAATCAGTGATTTCTTATTGATAATGATCTTCTTATTAATACACTATTGGCTTCTTCAACTTCAAAATGGCTCTGAACACATCTTGCAGTTTGAATACTCCGTTTGATTTTAAATAGAAACCAAAATGGCCAGTTCTCCCAATTTCCTCTACTTCTTTCACAGTCAGGGATTCCAGAAGACATAAATAGCTATATCATGGAGTGGGAGAGGGAGATCACCCAGCAAAAATATTCCACATCATTTCTTTCTATAACTTTTGAAAATGTGGCTCCCAGAGCATCATCAGAATTGCCAGAGATACTATTAGAAATATAGCTGCTGCCTACACTTCCTAAGTCAGACTTAGGGTGGCTCCTGGGGGTCTGAATGTTACGCATCAGTGGTGACACTTGCACTAAAGTTTCTTAACTACTCATATATAAGGAAGAATAAACAATTTTTTCTCTCTATTTTTCCCATTAACCCTCCCCCTGATGGTTTTCATCTGGGTGACTAGTTGGTTAATTGGTCAAATTGTATTTATTTGGTTTAGTTTGGTTGTACATACCAGTGTAGCTACACAGAGACTAAAGACAGCATCCAAACATTGAGTTATTTTCCCTAAATTGCAAGCTTTGAAAAAAACAAATTAGTAGCCTTTGTCAATATGGACCACCTGTCCAAGGGTCACTGAAGTCAGTGACATATTGAGAGGACACAGAGGTGTCCTCTCCTCCTACTCACTGAGGCTTCAGGGAACCAGATCTCCACCAAGTAGAGTCCCCCAGAGGTTCGCCTTGCCCAGAACCATCCACACCTGCTTGTGGCAAAGGCACAGAAATAAATGGAAATACTGTCACCAAACACTGTTATACTTCCACGTCCTTGCGTGGAGTAAGGGATACTGACACTCATCTATGATACCCACATGCTCAAAAGAAACAGGAAATAATTCCACTGAATCCCAGATTTGGAGGAGGAATTCTTTTTTAGCTTCTCTCCCTTCCTAGAGTATGCATTTCCTCCTCCAAAGCCCAAGCAATGAAAGCTGTTCCTCCCAGGGATGGATCCTCCCACCCTCCTGCAGATGCCCAGGGATCAATGCGCATAAAGCACTGGGTAACATTAGAAAGATTCTGGATCCTACCTGTATCTACCTAGCGGAGGTCACCAACTGCTGTGGTATTAGGTTATATTTTATTTTACGTCACCTGATAAGGAGTATAGGAGAAGGAACCATGGATTTTGAAAACTTGAGTTGACAGAGAAGAAAGTCAGGCAGAGCTGGATGGGAAAAGAGGGCTGTCATGTGGCTAAAAATCTTCCCTCATCAGGGCAACCCAGTCCTTCCAAAGCTCTGCTTTTAGCTGTGGAGACCGAATATTTTCAAAGAACATTGCCGTTTAGGATGTGTACAGGAAAGGGTGACCAGGGTAGCAAGATATCTAAAATCATCTCGTTAGAAAACAAAAAATGAAAGATGTTTAGCTTAAAGAAGCAAAGGGGGATAGTAAAGTTGTTCCCAAACATGAAAAAGAATATCTGATGCTCTGATAGCTGAAGGCAAATGAGCAATGACAAGGCCAATTCTGATTCAGTATTTGAACAGACACTTCAGCCATGAGAATTGCCCAATGCCTCAGGAGACCCTGTCCCTTGTGCACCCCTCCAGCCAGAAGGCAGGTGAGCCTAGGAGCTGGGGGGAGACACAGTATCTGAAACACTAGACCACGTATCCCGCAAGATCCCTTTGGAGCCCCAGGCCATGTGGGCCAGGCCTGATCCTGGTTACTGATGCTGTCCCCTGAGCTTGGATTCCAGCCAGGAATGCTCCACAGGAAGCAGGACAGGTCCCCTCTGAAGCATCAGACACCCCAAGGTGCATGCCCCGGTGGTCCTCAAATGATTCCAAACCACCCATAAAACTTTTGAAAGTGAAATGACTCGAGGCCTGCATCACACTCATCATCTTTTTCAATCTTTTAAGAGAATTACTTCAGGTTGGTTGAGAAGACTGTGGGGTCTAATTGTTGAGTCATTCTAGGATGCATTGTCCACACTGTTGTTGAGAGTTGGTTTGATTTTATTTTTTAGTTGATAGCTGGTGTCTGTCAATTTTCTAGATTTTTTTTCCTTTTTTTCTAGATTTTATTTTAGGGGGTTGAAGTGAACATGGCGCTGGTAGACATCAGCACTGCTTTGGTTCTGGTTGTCACTAACCCAAGGTCTTCCTCCACAGGGAAGAGCTGTGCTGCAGATCTCTCTTGCTGCTCTACAGATTTGAAACTTTGCAGGGAAAATTACATCTGTCCACATCTATCACAGGAATGGTATCTTTCCTGGTGTGATTTGGAAAGGAGGTAACTTGTTTCATCTGCCTATCTGATATGAGAATTGGGACCTTTTATTACTGAAACTAATTTTGATATACATCTGCCTATCACCTGAGACAAAATCAAAAATACATTCTTGTAACTGATGATAACTGGCCCATTTTGAGTGGTTTTACATGCTATGTTTGAAATGAAATTACGTACAGTGGTAGGCAATAAATCTCTTTTAGAGATAAAGTATGAATTTGGTTCTTGCTTCTTGTTATGGACTCTGTAACCTAGCATAGAATTCAGCTGGCAGACTGCTGCACCCAAGCCCGTATTCCTAACTAAGCCAAGAGCCGGGGTGGTGGCTGGCTATGTGGTAGAGCATTTGCCAGTGTGCAGGAGGCCTTGGGTTCAGTGTCCAGCATTGTAGAAAATAATAAACAAGAGCTGGAACTGGAGGACATATTTCAGATTTCAGGGTAGCTCTACAGGTACTCATTCCATTTTCCACTTATCCACACATCTGAGTGTTCCCTCTCTCTCTCTGAAAGAAGACAAGAAAGGCTTCTGGAGATAGAGGAAGTGCCAAAGTCACACAGTAGAAAGACACAGGACAAGGGTCCGAGTTGCCACCTACATCAGAGTGCTTTCTATGATTTAGAGCACAGTTCGCAGATTTTTGTACAACTGGAAAAAGAGCAAACACTTTAGGCTGCCCAGGTCACACAATCTCTATCATAACTACTTCCTGCAGACAATGTAGCTCAAAACCAGTCAGAGGCAAGATGTAGACAAACGAGTGTGACCACTTGCCAGTAAAACATAGTCAGAGAAAAATAAATTGCACTGGTCAACATAATATTATTCTTTAGATATTTTTCAAACATTTAAAAGTGTAAAATGGGGGCTGGGGATTTAGCTTAGCGGTACAGTGCCTGCCTGGCAAGCGCAAGGTCGTGAGTTCGATTCCTGGTACTAGAAGAAAAACAAACAAAAAACAACAACAACAACAACAAAAAATGAAAATGTAAAATGGTCATACAAATTAGTCAGTGGCTGGATATGACAGGTGAAGGGTAGAGCCCGTCATAGTTGTAGACCCCTGAGTTAGAAGACTTAAAGGGCAAGTTTACATAAATAATCTGAAATGTTGCCGTATTCTCACAATTCTGAGTTCATATAAAATCATTGCCTAACCTGTACTATATTGTCTTTTTTTTTTTTTTTTTAAAAATCTCTTCTCCATCCTAAAATAAGGGAAGATATAGTTAAAAGAAGGAAATATCCTTGTATTTCTACCCACATTTCCCTACTATGTTTTCTTTCAACAATTTCATGGGTCATTACTGCACAGTTAATGCTAGAAAAGTCAGACTTTGACAGACAAGTCTATGCAGGCCTGACGGTTTCACACTGCACATCCTGGCTGCTCCACCACGGTGAAGAGTCTGCATCTCCCCTACCCCTTAACTTTTCTCTGGATCCAAAACCAGGTGCTTGATGTACATTTTACCTTTCTGTAGATGCCAAAAATGGTTCCAATGGACACCAGGCAGTCGATGTTGGAAGAGCCATCAAGGGGATCAAAGCAGACCACATATTTACCCTGAGCAAAAAGAAATAGTTTTAACATATGAGGGGGAGAGAACACTAAGCAGTAAAAATGAGTCTCTAGAGAGAATGTCAAGAAGCATGAGTCTTATTTATACTTGGTTAGGGAAGATAAGATATGAGAAATATATAAGCCAAAAGACCAGTAGGCAGAGAAATACCATGTAGATTAGGAAGTATAAAGTAAGGTGAAAGAATACAGATAAGCCATAACTTCCTAAATCATTTATCTATTTGAATCATAATTTTCATGTGAGTCCTGGCAAACAAAGAAAACGGGACATAAGATAGTCATCTGTTTCTCTTTATTCGTAAGGAGGGAAAAATTCTGTAGGTAAAGCAAAGACCACGATAGGGTTCAGACTCCTAAAACTCTTCTCCTGCAGTTCTTCTAGGGGCCACAGGAGGCTGCAGTGCAGTCTTCTCAACAGCGTCTGAAGTGTGACTCACAGAGGCAGTAACCCTCTGCTGCAGTGGGGCCACTGAAGATCCATTCTCTGGATGGGTTTGCCAGCGGCGTGCTGGAGCTGCCTGGAATCGGCTCTAAAGAGGAAACAATGGGCATCTCTTCTAACTTCGCTATCAGTGATGTCACACTGGTAGTTGAGACTCATTCTATGAGTGTTTACATCGTTGAATTTGGTAAGTGCTATAAAGCATTTTTTTTTTTTTTTTAAAGCCAGTTTACCATTACATCTCAGGGAAATTTTCTATCTCCAAGTTAACCTTTTGGTTTTAAAATGTACGCCGGATTATAATTCCCTGAGATCCTGCTCTTAAAACATCCTCCTCATGGATGCAAGAAAAAGTGTAAACTGGAAGATGGAAACATGCCTACCACGAAGGCACACCGCAATCAGAGAGGTGTGGGTGACTGACAGAGAACGTTTAACATTGAACTCACTCCATGTGCCTAAAACTGCCAAGGACTATGAAAGGCCCAGCAAGAAAAAAAACAAGAACTTTTAACCTGACATGCAGTGCTAGCTATTTTAGGAATGATGCAAAACAAGTTAATAAGATGTGGCTCCCACACCCTTAAGAAGGGCAAGACAGGCAGTCTCTTTAATATACTTTCTGATTTCCTTTCAAAATCTACTCTTCCACACCCCTCATTCATCTCAAACAGGGAAAGACAGTAAGCCCATATAACTGTATTTCTAAAACTTACTTTTAATTGCAATTGTTTTAGAAAAGCTCGATATATTCTTTCATTCTAACAATCTTGTTGTTCTGAAGACCCTACACAGTGATGGTGAACCTTTTGGAACTTTCAGTGATACAAACAGCCTGCTGCGAGGGGCTGGGGATTTAGCTCAGTGGCAAAAGCGCTTGCCTGGCAAGCGCAAGATCGTGAGTTCGGTTCCCGGTACCGGAGAAAAACCAAAACCAAAAAAAAAAAAAAACCCAAAACAAACAGCCTGCTGCGGCACTTGTGCTGTAGGTTCGCCGCCACTGTATGTGCCAGGCAGTGTGCTTGGCGTTGGGACACAGAAATAAAAATCATGTATTCTCTGCCCTCAAGAAGTAATCAAGGGGCTGGGGATGTGGCTCAGTGGTAGAGCTCTTGCCTTGCATGCACAAGGCCCTGGGTTCATTCCCCAGCACCATACACATATACACACACACATAAAAGCAACAAAAACCCCACGTACAATAAGAATAAAAAAACAGGACAAAAAGGTCTCATGGAAAAAATTAAAAAAAAAAAAAAAGAAGCAATCAGAACAATAGGCATATAATAAATTCCCATGCATGAAAAAGGTGATAGAAATGCGGAGCTGACTTAAATTGATAGCAGGGTCCCGTGTGAAGGTTGGGAGTTCAGTGGATGGAGAAGTAGCAGAAGAGGTCAGTAAAGGGAGGACTGAACCTGGCAATGAAAATTTAGGAATGGCGGGCTGGGGATTTAGCTCAGCGGCACAGTACCTACCTGGCAAGCACAAGGTCGTGAGCTCGATTCCCGGTACCAGAAAAAACAAAAAAAAAAAAACCAGAAAATTTAGGAATGGCCACCCATGGAGATGATAAAGGCAAAAACTATAGTGCTGGAGGACAGATTTGAGATATGGTAGTAAAGAAGGATCAGCAAAAAGACAACAGGAAGGATTTAAGGTGCTAGTTCCTGGGGACCCAGCTTGGAAAAACAAGTGAAGTCATTTATGCAGCTAAAAAGGAAAATGGTTACATTAAAACCCTCCACAGTGCAAGCCCAGACCCACCCTTTTCTCAGGTTCTACGATTATGGCGTGTTTATCTTCTTCGGACACAAGAACACAGGTGGCGAAGGATGACTTTAGCATGTTCATAACCAGATCGTTGGAGAGGACATCCAGCTTCTTGACCTGATCACCTGTCACGTTGGTGGAGCCAGCAATGCCATAGCTAGAGGGAAGAGAACCACAAAAAATAAGCACAGTAGCCAGAATATGCAGATATATGCAAACCCCTGAAAGTGAGCATTAAGGAGGAGTTAGAAAAAAGGAAAGAAGACACATGGCTTAGAAGAAACAAAATAAGAAAGTGGTTTGCTTGGGATCAGCTCCTAGAGAGAAACCGCCCACTCTCATTACCCAGAACCTCTCATGATATCCACACACTTCTGTGGCCAAATCCATGTTTCTCAACTCTTCTTTTTTTCATTATGGTTCCCATAAGGACCCTTTAAAATTGTCTCTGCTTAACCATACTTCCCCCGTGAAATGTTTATTTATATGTATTCTGTCCTTTATCCAGGAAAAGTTGGAGCTTTTTGTGTTTTTACTTTTGTCCACCAAGAAGCAACGCACAGGTGAAATGAATCATTTGAGAGACATAGCAAGCAAGGAAGCCTGGGCTGGAGTGAGCCTGGGATGTCAGCTAACTCAGTGGGCTCTTTGGCTTTAGGACTGCAAAGATCCTAAAAGAAAGGGAGTGCTCACTGGTTTCACAACCTCATTTACAGAGTAGGAAAGTCAGATTCTGAGACACTTGTGGGCTTCTCCAAATCACACAGGAAGAATGCAAATGAGACAGTGCCTTCGGCTCCCAGGCTGGGGGTCTCTTGAGGTCTTCACTGCCTCTGTAGGGAGTTGTAGGGATGGGAGGCATGGGGAGCCCAAAGTTTGTACTTTATTTCTAAGCTACTTACAATTTAGTCAGTGTAGAATTCCCAGACTCCAAGAGGCTGTCCAAAATGCAAGCCTGGCTTATCAGAATGAGCGGAGGAGCAGGCTGTCACAGCCTGGGGTTGAATACACATACAGAAGGGGGGGTATATTTTACAGAGTGGAGGCACAGAGCGATATGAAAGACTGGGTATAGTCTGGGGATAAACTGGGTATAATATAAAAGAGGGAGAGGGAAGGGGAGTGTTGAAGATGCCACTAAGTGGCTGAGAGTGGGTGATAAGGGAATAATCACACCCTTGGTGAGATCATTATGTGTGTTTTCCTGCGAACTGATTGTCATTGCTTCAGAGATTGTCACTTATAACTTGTGAAGGCACTTTTTCCCAACAGATAGCTGTTTGTGTCTAGTTTGGCAAAACTGAAACCCCCTTAGAAACCATCTAAATCCCAGGGCCTGGTCTGGCCTGACCGTGTCTAGGAAGTGACTTCAGTTGTCCCACCCAGCCCATTCATCCGAGTCAGCCACTTTTGGCACCACCCGCTTCTTAGCCTAGAAAACAGCACCCCATCCTCCTGCCTCCTGGCCCCTTCTTTTTCCACTCCGTCATCGTTAATTCACAAATAAAAGACCAAGTCATCTATCAGACCTGCAAGGGTCTCTGGGCTTTGAGTTTTCTTTTCACATTTTCTCTTCCTGACTCAGCTGTGAAGCCAGCTCTGGGGGAGGAAGAGGGCAGCCAAAGTCCAGGTGTCTCACAGAGTCTTGGCAGGGACCACTAACTAAAGTACACCTCCCTCACTAGCCCCATCAATGGCAGTTTTCTTTCCTTCTCAGCCTGCAATTTCCACCACTAAAGCCACTATTGATTCAAAAGGGTGAACAACACTGATAAACAATGACATGGGCGTGAAGACAGAGAGCAGACACAGCCACAGCTCTGCTAGGTTCCTGCCTTCTGTGAGCCTCCTCCCTTCTCGCATGGGCCCAGAAAGGGAAACAAGAACGGTACATGAGATAAGGCACAGAAAGTGTCAGTCTTAGCACAGCCCTTGGCAGCTAACAGATGCAGGTGGATGCACTCAATTCCAGGGATGCCTGGGAATTTGGGGAAGGGGACAGAATGCACTAGGCAGGTGGAGGGCACATAAGATAGGCATGGTGTGTTAGTCCACTTCCATTACTATCATGAAACACCTGAGGTTGGGTACTTATAAAGAAATAAGTTTATTTAGCTCACAGTTTGGGAGGCCAAAAGTGCAAACAGCATAGCAATGGTTATGGTGAGTGAGGGTCCTCTGGCTACATCCCTTCATGACAGTGGCACTACAGTGTCAGGGGTACTTGGCATAGAGAGTAGTCACATGGCGAGACAGGAAGGCAGGGGGAGGGTGACATGACAGTCTTGCCATCTTTTAAAGGTCCCACCACCTCTCCAAGCCACTGCACTGGGGACCAAGCTCCCAGCACAGGGACCCTGGAGGTATGCAAATCATAGCCAAGCCATAGCACATGGGAAGGAAAGGCCTATTTTACAATTTGGGCCAAATTTCACCGGCTCAGATATCAGATCTCCTTTTTCCTAGCAGCTTCTGAGAGGTCTGTTCAAATGTTCATTTATTCCACAGACACTTACGGGGTCTTGCTGTGCTGGTGCATAGTACTGAACAGGGCAGATGAGATCCCTGCCCTGTGGAGCATCTATTCTAGTGAGGCCAGATAAAAAGCAAGGGTCTCAGAGTGAATGAGATAGTGGCAGAGAGGGGCAGATGTTCACTGTCCTAAAATAAAACAAGGGGAGAGGTGGGTAGTAAGTTAATTTTGATGGTTAAGGAAAGCCTCAGTGTGAAAGAGGCATTCAAGCAGAATAGTATCATGAATATTTTTTCATAAGAAAGGGAGTCTATGAAAAATCCCCAGACAAGCCCAAATAACTCAGCCGGTAGTGGTTCCAAAGAAAAGTTCCATGCTAATAATTCATCCAAAGATTTGAGTTTGGTTTTCACAGCTTTCCAAATGGAAGGGGGAAGGTACTATATGCACATTTGTATATATAACTTAAAAACTAGAGATCTTTTTCCAACAATGCCTGGATCCCTGTATCTAGGGAACACCTAAATTCAGGAGGAGGAGACCCAGAGAAGAAAGCCACATAAAGCCACATATTCCTTCTCGAATATTGCCAGATCTAGTTTGTAGTACTCTGGGTCTAGTTCCACCAGCCAGAAGAAACAAGTTACCCTGTAACTGTGGCCAGTTAAGGGTGCCATGATTTGTTTCTGCATTTCCCAAGCTTGCAGACTCAGCACTGACCAAACTGAAATGAGGCTGGAAGCAGATTCTATAGCCCTAGCTCTTGCCCTGGTCTATGGAAAGTTACACTCAGTGTCAGGAGAGGTGACCTGCTAAACCAAGACCACACCCAAGTTTCCTCCCTTTCACTCCAAGATTCTGAGAGAGCTCCTACCCTCAGGTCACTGAGGAACCAACATGTAGAGAAACAAGGGTCACAGAGGATGGCACAACCTGTTCATGATGGTCCAGTGTGGGCCATATCACACACTGCAGGAATGAGCAGTGCAGGGGACCCTCACCAAATCCGGCACTAATATCAACCACCAATCCATGGCAGGCAACCATCCACTTCTCCAGCTCCTCCTGCCTTCAGGATTTCCATTACACCTTTGGCTGGTGGCCAGTGGGTTAAGATGGTTTTTCCCAGCTTTCTTTGAACCTCTCTTTACCTCCAATTATGGTTCTTCTCCTGTTCTAGCAGAAAGATCTTTCTAGAGATAAGTTATTCTGAGCCCCTCAAAGTCATTCAGTGTAAAACTTTTCTAGAACATATGATTGAAGGACCTCCTCCCCTAGGAGTCCTCACATTGAAGAACTCTTTAAGAAAGCACAAGAAAATGGTGTGAAGGTAGAAACAGGAATGAGGAAAACAAATTCCCAGACTGCCAGCCAGTAATGCTACCATGTTGGTATGAAATCTTTGGATATTCTTTGGCTCACATCTCAGCACATGAAGTTAGCCTGGCCCTGTATTTCTCACACTGTGCTGCAATTTTCTGACCAGGAATTACAGCCATGATGACAAACAGGGATAGGTAGTTTCCTTCCACACGGCTGAGGGGACCCTCAGAAGGCAAGAACTCTCTGAGGTGTCACTTTTCCATGGGTCCATGAAAAGTCAGAAGCAGGTAAGGCTTTTGTGACTTTGACAGAGGAACAAAAGCCCCTAGAAAATATCCTCTGAACACTAACTCCCTGAAGAGCACATAGTTTGTTTTCTTTGTTAGTTTTTAGAACCTCCCTTAAAAACAATTGATTTATGCAGACAGCCCTGGCCCATACCTCAAAGGCCTGAAGTACAGATTATCCACTCTGTGCTCTGATGAGCACATGGACAGTGTGGCGGCCTGCAGGACCAAGGGCAGGTAGGGGTCTTGGCTCCCACCCGGTGAGAACCCCAGGCCTCCGCTCAATCCACTGAACCAGGGCTGTGAGAATGAATTGATTGTGTCCCCCATATGGATGCTCTGGGCAGACTCTGGCCCCTGGGTTGGGTCCTGGCTTGGAAAGGGGCCTCCATGTCAGTGGCTGTGGTGAGGAATGGGTGGGACCAACTACTCCAGATGGGAGAAGGCCTTTCCCACACCACCTGGCTCTCCTCCAGACAGTTCTGTGGGGCCAGAATAAGGCGGTGAATGAGGCGGCAGGGATATGAGGAAAACATCATACAACCCTGAACAAAAGAGCTTCTCCTGGGGCCAACTGTGCCTCTCAGCCAACACAGAGAGAGGGACAAGCTGAAACAGTGAAGAAATGGGTCAACTTCTGCAAGTTGTAGATATCTAGGTTTCACTCCCTTCCCAGTCCTCACCAGAAAAGAGGTCCCTGGCAGCTGATCGTGTAGGCAGTGACTTCATCTACCAATGACCTTATCCTAGGTGAGAGTTACTGCAGAAGGAAAAGATAATGTCATGCGTTTCCTTCAACTTTGTTTTTGGGGCCTCAAAGGAGAAATGTCAGAGGGATGTACGAAGAGAAATGCCTGGTGGCTTCTCCTAAGGAGTGAGCAGAGAGGGCTGGGGATATAGCTCAG